TCCACTGTAGCAAAGTGAACGAGATTTATGTCCTGGGAGGAGTATCATATGGGCTTCTTTGAAAATTCACTATTGCTTTTGACTCATTCCCTAATGAAGTGCCTGCCCTGGCTTTCTTTCATTTGTTCAAGCTTCTTTCCTCCCAGAAATGGGCTTTTTCTTGGCTGACTCCTTCTATGAAGCAGTGTAACTCTGTCATTGGCTCAGCTCAGAAATCTTCTTCTCATTATCGCTGTCGTTTTCTCTTTACAGAAATAAAAGAACTTTGCACTTTCTACCTAGACCAGCAAGTTTCAGCGCATTTCAGTTTATTTTTAACTGACAAGTGGTGAAGGTTAAATGCTGAGAATATGAAGCACAAATCCTGAGCATCCAGGAATGCAATATAATGATAATTATGCTACTTTTTTTTTTTTTTAACACAATGTCCTTTTCCTGGAAACTGAGCCTCACTACAGCAGTTTCTATGTATTTCAACCCCTCATGTGTTTCTCATGAGGGGCCATCAGGTTTTCAAATGTAGAGTTTGAGAGGATCCCATTGAGACCCTCTAGATAACTCTAAACAACCAGGAATGTCTTTATTATTACAAAAGAGTAAGAAGTAAGTCTTAACAAATAACTTCAAATAATGTGCCAGTATTATTAGTTGGCTGGTATCAAGAGCCAGAGGAGCTGTGTTAAGAAGGATTCTGAGGCTAGAAAGAAAGCAAGAAATTGATGGTGATGTTTGCCTTGAGCGCAGGATAGGGACATGGAGGTCAATATATGTATTTCCTGTTCCTGGTCTAATTCAAAGATATTTATACACAATTAACTATAAAAATAACCATGTTATTTAATATATAAATGAAAAGAAAATCATTTTTTAGGTGACTTTATTTAAAGCAGTGCCCATCCAGAGACTCAATGGAGGCCAGTCTGTATCAGGCCAGTACTGCTGAGACCATGTGCCGATATGCTCTGGCTTGAGAGTGCTCTAATCCCTGTGTCCTTCTCCCCTTGCCAGTCCAGGATGGGACAGAAAGTCACAGCTGGTTGATATGCTGATATTTGGCTCCATCTGTGATAGGTAGAATAATGACTCCAAACCCATGAATATGCTAGGTTATGTGGCAAAGGGAAATTAAAGTTGTAGATGGAACGAAGGTTGCTAATCAGCAGACCTTAAGATAAAAGGGAATATTCTGGCTAAGTAAACACAAGGGTCCTTCCAAGTAGAAGAAGAAATCAGAAGACAGACCAGAGATAGTGCAGCTAAGCTTTCTGCCTCACATTGTTCACTTTGAAGATGGATGATGCCCTAGTGCCAAAGAATGTAGGGGACCTCTAGAAGCTGGAAAGGGCAAGGAGACAGATACTTTCTTAGAGTTTCCAGAAAAGAATGCAATCCTGCCAAAAATTTGATTTTAGTCCTGGGGGACCCATTGCAGACTTGTGAACCACAGAACTCTAATAAATTTGTGTTGTTTTAAGTCAATAAGCTTGTGGTGATTTGTTAGAGTAGCAACAGAAAAGGAACATGCCATCTAGGTTGCCTCAATATAATGATAATGATAACCATTAATACTTAATGCCTGGCACTATTGTTAAACATTTTATAAGCAATGTCTCAATTGGAGAGGTAGGTACTATTACTTATTTCTTCTTTGCAGATACAAATATACTTGGTAATTTTTACCAAGTAATTTGCTCAAGGACACAGAGCTAGTAAGAGTCAGAGCCAGGACTAGAGCTAGGTCTCCAGGATACCAAACTCCATGCCAGCAACCATTCTGACTGTGATGTTAACACCGTGTCAGGGCACATGGCCGTCGGTCTTCTGGGCTTCTATTGCTTCCCTGGGTTTAGCTGCTCCCTTTCTCCTGCTTATGCTTATCCACAACAGGCAGACCATTCACTTGACTCCAATAAGAGTCTTGGCCACTGACCTTCTGGGTCTGCAGACCACCCTCTCTTTTCAGCCTACACACTTGCCACCATCATGTTCTTTCAAGCCACAACGCAGACCCCCAGGCTTTGTCCTTAAGGTCAGTCTCTACCTGTGATCCCAGCTGCATGGAGCGGGACCAGAGGGATTGAAATACTGCTGGAGTTCATTGCTGAACCTGCATTGATGAAGAGTCTGATGGGTCTCTGGCAAGCACAAGCTCAGTGGGGGTGGGCCTCAAGGTCAACTCTGCAGTGGCAGAGCTGTGACAAAGGGAGAAAGAAACCTACAGCTCTGTCCAGCCAGGGTTCAGTGTTCGGGAGCCAGGATCAAAAAAAAATCCGGCAAGCCATGTAATTCTACCCCCATATAAAAATATTAATTGGATGTAATTCTTTCCTAGGAAATTAATACATATGTGAGAATGTATAAAGATTCAGATACTAGAATGAATCCATAAGCATTTATTACTTTGAAGGCAGAAGACTTGGATTCAAACAAAGTTTCTGTTAAAAAGTATGTATTGAGTCTTGTTTGAATTGTTCTCTCCTTAGGACAATAGCTGAGGTAGAATTTTACAATGTAGGTAATATCAAGCATAATAATTGTGCTGCAGTAATAACAGCTGGCATTCATTTAGTACTTCCTATGTGCTAGACATTGTGCAAGCTTCTCATTTTAACACTCAAGACAAACTTAGGAGATACATACTATAGTTTTCATCATTTTATAGAGAAGGAACAATTAAGAGAACTTTATATCTATGATAATCATGGGCAATGAGTAAATATGACAGCTATCATTTTCCTTTCTGCAGGAGAATTTGACCTTTGGTTGACTTCCTAGCTCTGTTACCCTGGTAACCTGATAAGAGCCAAATGTCAACTATATTTCTAGGTAACATCGCCTATGATTAAAAATGACCTCTTATCAGTTGGTAAATTGTATCTGGAATTGGGATGGGCTGTACAGGAACTATATATATATATATATATATATATATATATATATATATATGTTTTTTAAACTTTTTTTTTAAAGATTTATTTATTTATGCATACAAGAGCTGGGGAACAGGCCAGAGTTGCGGGGGGTGAGAGGATTCACCAGAGACAGAGTGGGGAACAGAACAGGCAGACTGACTGAAAACACTGCTGAGGGGAGCAGCAGGAGAGTCAGGAGAGGTCTGCCTCGCCATGTGGGTTGCTCCCTGGGCGGCCAGGGATGGAACTTGTGCTGCAGAGGCTGCAAATTGCTTGATAGTGTGGTGCTTAACCCCTTGCGCCACGAGGGAGGCCCCTGTACAGGAACTATAAATACCAGAAATGGACACCATTCCCTAGCCTTCCCTGAGGGCAGCAACTCTGGTTTTCCTCTTGGGGGTCCCTGGAAACTATGCTTCAGGAGTATGCTCAGAGAGATGCTGCTCCTGTGGGGGCCTGGGATTAGCACAGGGGTGACTTTCCAGCCTGCCTGGCATGGGATGGTGCTGGGGGCCGTGAGCCCCTAGGCTGGTGCAGGGCTGCCCTGCTTAAAGCTGCCCTGCAGGCCTGTGTCCTGTGTTCTGCTAAGTGGACTGCTACCAGCATGGCCCCGGGAGTCACCGTGAGGGTCTGAATGACCAGTTGAATCAGAAGAGTAAACTTCATGTTGGGTTGGTGGGTTTTGCAGACCTGCAGCCAGCAGTAGAAGGAGTGTCAGATCAGATCTTGGCATCCAGCCACTCCTCAGCAGCCTGCCACCCTCAGGGAGGCTCCGGGGGACTCACTAACTTTGCTAAGGCCCCAGGGCTCATATTTAGCAGAACCTAGTTTGTCTACTTCAAAACCTTGCTTTTAACCTCCTGTTAGGTATGGCTCTACAGTTAAAAGATCCATTTTCCATGGTGGCTCATTTAGCCCTGCCATGTATGCACACCTCACTAGTGTCATTGGGAGGTGATCTGGTCACATAGGAGAGTAGGAAGGGTGAGCATATGTCATCCTGTGTTTTATGCTTATTTAGCTTCTTCCTCTCATTTTCTCATCTCCCATCCTCCTCCCCTTCATCTCTTCCTACCTACCCCTCCTTTTTTTTTTTAATCTAATTCGAAATTTTCGAGACTTGGGCAAATGCTAGTGTTCCTATATACCTTTCACCCAGGTTTCCCTAATTTTGACATCTTATATAACCACAGTACAGTTACCAAAGCCAGACAATTTTCACTGGTGCACAACCACTAACTAAACTCCAGACCTGCTTCAAATTTCACTAGTCATCCACCTCATGTGCTTTTCCCATTCCAGATAGGACCCTAAACGCTGCTCTTAGATACTATCCCACTGTGAATATAATTATTTCTCCTTGGTTCCTTCCAATTTGTAAGAGTTCCTAATAGTTAATTCTGTGTGCACGCAGCCACACAAATGTGTCCTTTCTTTCGTTCTTTTTAAAATTCTTTCTCTAACCCACGAAAACTCCAGAACATTAGATCAGGGCATAGTATCAGGAGCACAAGTCCCCATCCTTATAATATCAGCACGCCAGGTCTAGCCAGGCTGCTACCATTTTCATCCACATTTTAATAATGAAAGCCAAAAGTCAATGCCTCCTCCTTATAAAAAAGCCATTCATATGGGTGGCCTAAAAATTGTTTTTCTGCTTCTCAGATGGTATATTATTGATAGAAGTGGCCCCAATACATTCGTTTTAAGTGTTGCATAATTCATAATGTTCCATTGTTTAAACAGACCACAATTTATCTATTCCCTATTGTTCCTGCTTTTCAATTTTTTTTTTTTGCTGTTGTAAATAATGCTATGGTTAAATATTTTTAAATCAAGCATATTCTTTCATATGCAAATGAGCACATCTATATCTTTTGGGTCTTGTGATCCAGGAAAGGGCCTGAGTGTTGTGAATGTTATGCTCCTTTATATCCTGGGTGTCCTTATTGAGTGGGTGGTGGGTGGATGGATGGACTGATGAATTCTTGAATCTCCTGATTTGCCAGACTTGTATATCCATTTGTAAAATCTTCTTGCTTGTGTGAAAGAACCACATAGAAACTCTTAGCCTCTTTTTTCTTCTAGATGTTGAAATGCTTCAGGCATCTAACCCAAGCCCTAGAGATGGTTTCTCTCGGACTACTAAGGACTCTATGATCCGCAAGTTTTTAGAAGGTAATTTGCAGCTATGAGCAAGGAAGCAAAAAGAGGAAAAGAGAAACAAATGGAGGCTCAGCTACAACACAGATAAAACTGCAAAGTCCCCTCCTAAGGCAATCCTTTATACTTGATGTGATCCCAGAGGCATCTTTAGGGAACCTCCGGAGAGCTCTTTTGGCGACCACAGGTCTGGAGCCTCTGATGGGTGGGAAGAGGAGTGTGGTGATGAGGCAGGACCTGGGTCCAGGCTACCAGGGTCTGTCCCTCCACCTCTGCTCACGTGGCTTTTAGCTGTGTTAGCACCAGGGGAGCTGGTATAGGAGTTTCAGCAGGGATGAGCTTTCATTGTTTTAAATGACATGATCAGACCAAGATGGGAACAGCTGAGAAACAGACTCCATGTTCTCGCTGTCAGAGTAAGAAGGGAATCCAGTTGCACAGATTTGAGTTTCTTTGAGATGACCTTAAACAGTGGGTAGCAAATTTCTTATAATTTTCATTTTTTGCCTTCCTAGTGTTTGTTGGCCCCTGAGAGCCTAGCAGTGGGAGATGGGACTGGAACATCTTTCTGAACACTTCTCTTGTTTGGCAAGTGGAAGCCAAGAGAGTGGATGATTATCTGTCACTGCTGATGGAATAAGGGAGAAGCAAGGGACCCCCTGACATAGAGCCCTTCAATAAAATGGGTACTCCTTACCTAGGCTTCCAGTGGTGGGCAGTGCGTGCCTACCTGAAACACTTGTCACTAAGGGGAGCAGTAGCTATTCATGCCCAAGCTCCACCCGTGTCTGACTCTCTCACTTCTCACTGAAACCATACAAATGTCCCCTTTCCTTACACTGGAATGCAGCTGCCCTAAGGGTGCCTAAGGGCCTGCCCCCACCCAGATTCGAAAGATGTGGGAAGAGCACAGAGCACCAGCTCTGGAGCCAGCTTTCCTGGGCCACAAACAACTTTTGGGGAGGTTGTTTATATCCCCCAAAGCCCTAATTTTTTCATTTGCAAAATGAGAATAACAATTATAGACTCCCACAGTTAGTAGTTAGTAGCTCAACAGTGAAAGAGAACTTGTTGCATAGAGAAAAGCACAGAGGAAGTCTCAGGATTTGCTGTAATCATTTTTGATGCTAGAGAGGGGGATTCTGTAAGCTTTGGTGTGAGGACTCCCAGCCACCAGGGGATGATTTCCAGTGCTTTTCAGCTCTGGGGGCAATGCTCTTTTCCTTACTTCTAACGGGATGAATAACTGAATCCCAGCAGTAACACTGACTTGATAGAGGCTGGGGCTCACTTCCTCTTGCTACATCGATGGGGAGCAAATGAAGGTGACATCAGTTGTTTTCTCAGTTGCTTTGAATTGGGTTCTGAGCAGATCACGCAGGAGATGATGTAGGGAAAGCCCTTTGCCTAAGGGCAGTTCTGTACAAATATGGTCACTCTCTTTGTTCCTATGAATGTAAGTACCTTTAACCACTGCTTTCAATCACCTTTCTTTGTGTTTCTAGGTAACAGCATGGGAACGGCCAGTTCAGAGAGAGAGCCGCACCATGTTAGGCGGGAAAAAGACATTTATCACACAGTGGAGGAGGATGAGAACTTTTCTATGGACCTGGCTAACAGGCCCCCTATCCCAGTGCCCAGGCCAGAGGCCAGTGCTCCTGGAGCTCACCAGCTACCTGATAATGAACCATACATTTCTAAAGGTAAGTGTGGCAGGGAATGTGCCCACCAGGGTCCTTAGAGCATCTTAGTGGGAACTCCCTCGGTCCTCTAGCTTCTGACTAGTTACTCAGGCACTCTGCCCTTCTGAATGGCCTCCAAGTCAGGAGACAGGGTTGGGGCTCAGAGCAGATTCTGGAGCTAGACTAGAGGTTATGAGCAGATTCAGTTCTGGCCTTTCTGGAGGCCTTCATGCACGGTTCCAAAGACAGGTGAGTAAGATTTTCTTCTTATAGTAAGAACCCTAGTAAATGTATATCTTCTGAAATTCTTTTTTTTCCCTTCTTTTTCTTAATTTTTTATGCCTAACATGTATTGAAATCTATTAAAAGTGTTCTACCTAGAACATGTCATTTAATTTCTATAATAACCTGTAAGGTATAGACCATTATTATCCCCATTTTATAGATGAGGGAAATGGAGGCTTACAGCATTTTCTTGACTGCATAGCAGAGCCAGCATTTTAACTCAGGGAGTCTGGTTCTATAGCCCTGGCTTTTCGCCAGTATACTACACTATCTACCTACATTAATAAAAATTGGTGCCAACTCAGTTTTGACTTTTTCATAGTGGTCCTGGGACATCAGTTAGCAATTTCAGTTTTCAGAACTTGGTTAATGTGGCTCTAGGCTCTGTAGCAACCGCCAGATCTGAGTCCCTGACCTACACTCCATTTTTTTTTTAAGGTTTATTTATTTATTTATACAAGAACCAGGGTACAGGCCAGATGTGCGGGAGGGTGAGAGGATTCACCAGAGACAGAGTGGGAAACAGAACAGGCAGATGTACTGAAATACACTGCTGAGGAGAGCAGCGGGTGAGACAGGAGAGGTCTGTTGTGCCATGTGGGACCCTTGCTGGCCGGCTGGGATTGAACTGGCGCTGCAGAGGCAGCGGACAGCTTCACAGCACTGCCCTCAACCGCCTGCACCACCAGGGGAGGCCCTACACTCCATTTTTAATAGTGTAAGATGTTTATAGAAATTGTGGCAAAAGGAGATTACAGCCAGAGCCCTGGGTATTTGGGTTGGGGGTGCCAGGTAAAGTACAGTGTAAGAATGCCCCAACAATCCAGTGAGGAATTTACTGTTATCATTATCATTCTACAGATTAAAAAAAAAATGTGAGGCAAAGAAAAATCAAGCCACCTGTGGAAGTTCAGATGACTCATAAGTGTGGAGCCAGGGTTTGAATCCAGGGAGTCTGGGCAGAGCCAGGGAGCTTTTACCTCCATGCAGTCTGGCCACACAGTGACTTGTCATGCCCAGTGTTCCCTGTTAGCCTTTCTGGCTGTCACTCATGAGTGAGTTCCTCAGGGTCTCTTTGGAGCCAGGCACATAACATACCTGTTCTTGGCTCAGGGTTCTGTCTTATGACATTTGTGAACATGATCAGTGGCACCTCCTTTTTTTCTCAAGATTCAAATGCACCACAGTTATCTTTAAAGGTCTGGCCTGCATCCTTGTTCCACTGCTTTATTCCCTCTGCTGATCTCGCCCTCTGCCAGGTTTTGTCTTCTTGGGTCTGAAACTTTATCTGTTTAGTTTGCCTTCAAATCACAATCCCTATAGCTTCTATTCATTAGTTGCTCCCTACTAGAATTTTGATTTACGGAACTGAATGCAGTAGTTGAAAGGGTGATCCATTCTTATTATATTTTGTACAAGATTTTGGTGATTTTTTTTTTTTTTAGTGTATAAAATACTATAAAGTCCTTTAGAAAGATCTCTGGTTTGGATCTTACTTAGAATTTTCTTTACTTCATAGTTTTTGCAGAAAAAAGTCAAGAACGACCTGGGAATATCTATGTTTCCTCAGAGAGCTTCAAGAAAGGTAAGCCAGATGCTGTCCTCTGCTTCTTTTGGTATGGCCTGACCTCCAAGTGGGACAAGTGTTTATGTGTCAGTAATTTCCAAATATAACAACAACTCCTTAGAATGAAAAGCAGGGCAGTCCTAGGGGAGCTGTCTGGGGGTCCTGCACTGCTGGTATAGGGAGAAGAGAGACCAGGGTGCCTTGGAACATTACAAATTGCTCAGACAAGGTAACTGAAAAGTCACCGGAATGGCTCACAAAAGTACAATATCAATATTGAAACTGATGTCAAAGGAGGAAATGGGTGGCCCAGCACCCAGTTTTTACCTAATGATACACGCCTACCATGCTATTTACTTTCTCTACCTATCCCAGCTAAACTATACTTTAACTCAACTTTTATTGATGAGATGTTTGCTTATCATTGGGTAATAACTAGGATGTGTCATTTTTTTCTTTCTTTTTAAGGCTTTTAAAGGAAATTTGAGGGGATAAATGTTCTATATTTCTTGTGCTAATCAAAGGCACTGGTCTTATCCCACTGGTGACTCTTTTGAAAAGCAGCCATGATGCCATCCAACCATGTGAAGGCACTGCCCAAGACTTTTGTTGTAGGAGAATGGAATTGATTGATTGGTTCATTTTATTTCCTGTCCACTCTCCATCTACCAATGCAATTAAAGACAATCCTGAAGCAGGGAGAGCTGAGAGATAAGTATATGAGTATATGTAGACAGATGAGTGAACTGTTGGGCAAAATGATAGATAAACTTCTTCGGTACCCACTGGTGGAGACATCTCTTGTCTTTCCTTCTCCCTGAATCACAATGTCCAAGTGGAATCCTGCTGGGGAAATGTAGAATCAAGAATATCCCTGCAGGAATTGAGCAGGGTGTCCCCACAGGTAGCAATGGCCCCATCACCTCTGCAAGCAGGATGTTCACCACAGAGCCTAGTGGAGTCACAGCCAGGAAGGGAGAGGGATTCCTATATCCCCAGAATGTCCATAGTGCTGCACCTTAACCCCTTGCGCTACCAAGGAGGCCCCTCCCTAGAATCTCCAGAGCAAAATACTATGAATTGGTAATGTCAAGGCGAATTTGGCACAGAAACAACCAAGCAGATCCTTTTGGTACCTAGCATCTAATTTATACCTGGTGACTTTGGACCTGAGTGATGATTCCACTGGTGTTACAATCTCTTTGAGCACTTCATGTCCATCAGTCCACAGTCACTGTGTCCTGTGCTACTCGGAGCCAAGGAGGGTGGGGAGGGCTAGGGTGGTGCTGGGAGAAGCATGCTGCTTAGACTCGTTTTGTATTGTCTCTTCTGGGACTAGATTTTGGTCTAAAGCAGTGGTTCTCAACTGGGGGAGTAGGGATTTTACCCCCTCCCTCTATTTGGCAATACCTGCGACATCTTTGGTTGTCATAATTGGCAAAGGACTTACCTTTGGCATCTAGTGAGTAGAAGCCAGGGAAGAGGCTACATATTGTGCAACACACAGGACAGCCCTGCAACAAAGAATTATCTGCTCCTTAATGTCAGTAGTGCTTATGTGGAGAAATGCTGGTCTAAAGGCATCTCACTAATTCAGACTTGGGGGATCCTGTTGGACTCATCAGTGGCTTCATGTCTCCCTAAAATGTTGTGGACTTGTCTACTTTAGAGTAATAGACTTTGAAATAATTAGCTGTTTCCCTCTCCCCTGATTCCTTGCCATATCTCCTCTGCCTCATTCCACATGTAATTGTTCTTTAGAGACACGTCCTCTTGAGCCTGTGATCAGCCTCATTAGCCTCACTCATCCAGGCAGCTCTCCCCAGTGGGGATGCTGCCAAACTGAGTTTTGCATCCTTTTCAGAGCCCCCCGTCAGACCGTGGAGGGATCGGCCCCAGTCGAGTATATATGACCCTTTTGCTGGGATGAAAACGCCAGGTCAGCGGCAGCTCATTACCCTTCAGGAACAGGTGAAACTGGGCATCGTCAATGTGGACGAGGCTGTGCTCCACTTCAAAGAGTGGCAGCTCAACCAGAAGAAGCGCTCTGAGTCCTTTCGCTTCCAGCAGGTAAGTAGCAGCAGCAGGAGCCTGTTCCACGTCTGTTTTCCCCCAGCAAGGGGTGGAGGCCTGAATCGTGACCATCTTGTGCATGGCCACAGTCGAGCACCTGCAGCTGGGCCTCAGCGTGTTTGTTTGAGTGTCCTTGTGGGTCAGCGTGTGTGTTGGTCACCTGTTGTCTGGACCACATGGTTGAGAACCAAATGGCTTTTCTGCTTGTCCCTCAGCTAGAGATCACCAGCAAAGACTCAGTGGAAAGCCCTTAATCTATGGCTGCTTGTCCCTCCACATGCAGCGCAGTGCTTTTCCCAACCAGCTCTTTTTTTTTTTCAGAGTTCCTTTCTCTACTCTAGTGCGAACACTCCCACAGAACTATCACACTTTAGAGCCCAAAGAGAATCTGGACAACTCCCCAGATAGAGGATTAAATGAACCATACAAGCTGCAGATATAAAATCACCCAAGTGAAAACACACACTCACACAGACTCTGTTTCTGTAGGCAGGTATCAGAGGCGAAGACAGAGACCTGGAAAGGGCCGCCCTGAGCACTTCCATCACTTACCTCCCAGGCGTAGTCAGGGAAAGGAGCATGAGGTGTCAGAGGAGACTCCTGCTATTTACAAGAGCTTGTGTCATTCCATATTTCTGTACTTCACGTGTAGTTTAAAGATTAAAAACAACTCAGCCTTGATTTTAGGAAGCACATCCTTAGTGCAGTTCCTTTGGATTAAAGAGGTAAAAGGGACATGTTAGTGGAAGGTGGCTTTCCTAGGTGGGTCAGGACTGGCCAGGGGAGTGGCATCCATCAGCCCTGAGATGGGAGCCTATCTCCTTACAGTGGAGACATGGCTGTCTATAGTGACAAGTGGGAAGTGAATCCTAAAGCAGCATTTCTGAAGCTCTGACAACAGCCTGCTGGCCCTGCCCTGGGCTTCGAATACACCCAGTCTCTTGGCTGTTCCTGGCTCACCTGTGAAATAAATGTCAGGTCTTTCATTCTATCATGGCCCGAGAGGTGGAGTGACAGAGTCAGAGTTCAGAGGAGCCCTTCCGCCTCCAGAGCCTGCGCTCCCTTCGCTACCACCTCCATCTTCTCAGCGCTCCTGCTCCTCAGCAGGGCCTCTGCTCTCCCCAATGGCCTCCCTGGGAGTCTGAAGGAGGAGGGACAGGGCCAGGAGTAGGCTGTGGTGCTGAATCATGAACCAGGGTCTCTAATGCAGGGACCTAGGAAGGTTGCTGTCCTGCTGGACATTGTCTGACCCTGGCAAACTAGGGTTTATTCCTCCCTGCCAAGTCCTGTGCCCACAATCAGAGTGACCTTTCCAGTCGGCCTCTTCTGACTCTCTTATGGAACCTTCTGCTCCAGTCAGATGGTCTGGACATTGGTCTCTAAGAGGCATTTTCCCTAGAATACCTAACTTTGAGGTAGTGGTTGTTTTGACTAAAATAGCAACAAATCACCGTCAACATGTATCTACCTGACATTTATTGAGTGACTACAGTAGACCAGATTGTAGGGTCTCAGAAAGGTAAAAGACCTGGTCTCTTGTCCTTCAAGAATTCAGTCTTTTTGCAGACGACCATACACACACACACACACACACACACACACACACACACACACACACACACACACACACACACACACACACACACACACATGTGCCAGCCCTAGATTGCATGGGCCATTAAGAAGATCTGGAGCAGTCTGGTAAGCCTTTAGGGAGAAGTTGGGTTTTGGCTCAAGCCTGGAGCAGATTCATGGAGAGGAATTGATGTCCTCGAGGTCAGGGAAGTGGTGTGAGAACATAATCATAGAAGCAGGAATGTGTGTGAGCAGGTAAAAGACTGGTGTGGCGAAGGGGTGTGCAAGGAGCAGCACAGCTGGATATGAGGCTGTGATGGGGCTGAGAAACAAGGGGGAGGGGAGACACTCTGGGGAGGACAAGGTGTCTTCTCTTCAAACACAACTTCTTAGAGTACTTGGATTTCTCTGGGGGTCTGTTACAGTTACACTCAGCCTCATTTGCATGTTGGAGATGTTATTGCAATGTGACATATTTTGCAAACAGCATAAAATTAGAAGGAAACTCAAACGCCCAGAGGGTGTAATTCTGGTGTATACTTTAAAAATAAACTAAATTTTTTCCAGGAAAATCTTAAACGGCTAAGAGATAGCATCACCCGAAGACAGAGAGAGAAGCTAAAGTCGGGAAAGCAGGCAGGTATGTGGCTCCCTGGGGTGCTGGTGGGATACTTTACCATGAACTGGTATCCTCAGCACTCCTTTCTGCCCAGCCTGGGTGGGCGAATTGTTTTCCCTGTACTTGTAACCCTGTTTACAGATCTGGGTCCCCCACTGGACTGTGGGATCGTTTTGAGCAACAGCTTGGTCTTGTTTTTTTTCTGTATATCTAATACCTGGCATATAAGACATGTCAGCAAATGAATGTATGAATGAATGAATGGGCTGAACTCTGTGTTCCTCCATCCCACTCAAATAGGATGGCAATGCGTTCTTCCCAGGCACTTGACTCTCCCTTTGGCATTTAGGGAGATATGTTTTTGGAGTAGAAAAGAGAAAATCCCATTCACAGATTGTGCACCTCAAGCAGGAATTATGTCATGGGTGTCCACAGCACACACTGCTCAGAGCCCAGGGCTCAGGGGTGGCAGGAGTTCTGCTGTTGGGAGCCTGCTGCCCTAAAGGGAGCTGGGGTTTTTGGAGAATACCTGTTTACTCTGCATGTGGAATTCCAGGATGTTAGAAGTTCTGCAAACAGAACTTCTTCCCAGAATTGACTCCTGTTCTCTTAGGACGTACTGGCTTGCGTGCATGTTCCCTGCTAACCAGAAAAGCTTGTTTTCAGCAGTAACTTATTAATCTGTATAAGCAAAAACACAATTGTGTGTTATTTTCTTGTTCCTTTGTTCATGTCTTTAATAAATCTTGGGCTGGGAGAGTGAAAGGCAGTGCTGCTCTCGATGGGACTCGCCCCAGCTTCCCCCCACTGCAAATTCATTTAGACTCCAATACTTTGTTAATGGCAGAGAACTTCATCCGCTGTCCTTTCTGCAGCATTCTGCCATGCACTGCGGGGGTCCAAGAGCAAAACCATTATTCCGTTGTGCACACTTGCCCCTTGGCTCTCCCAGATGCTCCCCATGTGGCACCACCACCACTGAGTAAGGATTTGGCATTTGCCCACACTGAATCTTCCCACAGAGAGCCTCTGGCATGATGGGTCTCTATAATTTACTTTGATCTACCTTATTCCAAGTGAGACTGGCAAATAAGTCTTTCAGAGGCTCTTGGTTCCCAAATGGACTTCCTCTAATTAAAGAACTAAGAGCATAACTTCCTTAGTCTGTCTCCTGCAGCATCAACAGGCTGACTGCCCATAAACCGGGTCAGGCTGCTCACTCCCTGCTCTTCAGATTGCATCTTCCTGCCACCAACCACTTGTTTATGTTCCTTCCTTCTCACCTGCATTAAACTACTGGGTGGCAAGTTCCAGCCCTGACAGCCAGCACCTTCTCAGCGAGGCCTTCCTGGGCCACTTCAAGCCACTGTGCATCTTCCTCATTGGAGCATCTCGGGAACTACTCTCCCTTCCATTCATCTGGCACTTCTCCTTTGCTGCTTCTGATCGCTGCAACTTCATTCCTTCATTCACACAGTGCAATTCCCAGGGGTTCCCAACACATCTTAAACCCGATCATCTCTGACCACGGGGCAGCTGCTGCTGAGCCATCATCTCTTCCTGGATCAATGCAGGAGCCGCCTCCCCTAGTGTCTCCCCATATCCCTTATTAGCCCTCTACAGTTAATTCTCCAAAATGCAGCCACTGACCTTTTAAAAAATGAAAACTAGGTCATGCCTCTCCCTTACTCAAAACCTTCCAGGGGCTCTTGTCCTGGCCAGAGTAAAACACATTCCTCCCTGTGGCCTACAGGGCCCTACTTGATCTGGCCCCTGAGCTCCTCTTCCACCTCCAGCCCCACTCTGTGCGCTGGTCTCAATGGACTCCTTTCTGCTGCTCTAACACACCGAGAGCATTCCTCCCACCTGCCCTCCCCACTCTGCTTCTTTTGCTATCTCTTTACAGGCTGTTTCTTTTTCAGCCTCAGAGTCTGACTATAGGTTTTCCAGAGTCAGCCTTCCACAACTCTGCTATCCCTTTACCACACATCACAGGTGGAATTATCTCATGTTTCTCTTCTCATGGATGGTCCACTCCTCAACACCCCCCTTTTACTGTAAGCAACATGAAGGCAAGAACATGTCTGCTTTGCGCTCTGCTGAAACCTAGAGTGTAGCACAATACAGTGATGGTGGTAATGGCATCCTTGTTGGAACACTGGATTTCACTAAAATGCTTGGTGACTCCATTCATCCATTCTGCAGGCATGTATTGAGCACAGGCACTCTGTCAAATACAGAGACCCCTAAGCATGACTCTTCACTATCTGGTAGCTCATGGGCTAGTCTTTTATGTGTGTGGGTGTGGTGTTCCCTGCTAGAGCCTGTCCTGCAAAGCCAAGTGAATCGTGATGATTTTGACTGTTTGGGAGAAGAGGGTTAAGGAGGTTGTAACCATGGCAGAAGTTTTTCTGCTTGGGTATCTAAATTTTAAATGTATGTTATCGCTACTCAAGCTCACACTTGTGTGCCTCCTCAGAGGAGGAGTGAGAAGAGAAGGTAGAAAATTGGGTTAAAGACCTGCTGGGTCATCTTCGGGTCAGACAACAGGGCATTAGGTGGTAAAAGGGCTGAAGTGAGGTGCTTTTTAAAACTAGAGCACCCAAGCCCAGACAGGGAAGCCTTAATTAAATAAAACACTTCAAGCTTTTAAATATAAGGAGCATCAAGTAACCTACGATTTGGTAGTACATGCACTGTTTAAGGGCCAGAGTCATGGTGCTGGCATCACATGTCCCTGGTTACCTGGGCTCCAGGACTGAGCATGCAAGTGGCATCATACCCTTGCCCCTGACCTCAGTACAGTGAGGAGTAGAGGGGTACAGGCATGGACTCTGGGGCCAGCAGGGTTGGAGTCAAGTTCTTATCCATTGCTCACCCTTCACTAGCTGGCGACCATGGGCAAGAGGCTTCATCAGACTGAATCTGAGTCCTGGGCTGCAAAGTAGCACAAATAAAAGTATCTACACCTTTGGGGTTGTTGTAAGGGTTGAGCAAGTTAGGCTAGATCCAGGGCATAGCACAGTGCCTGGTACCTGGAAACACATGGAAAAACCACTGCCACACCAGCTGACATCCTCTCAGACATGGCTTCCCACAGTGAGGAGGATGGACTGGAACTCACCATCCAGGGTCTCACCCAGGAGTCATGGATTTCGAAACATTACAAAAGTTCACCCAATTTTTACCAGACTCTGGACAGGTGTTATGCACCAACAGCCGTCGCCTAAACTCTAATGGTCAATGTCCACATTTTCCCAAAGGAGTATGTTTTAGTTTGGCCTCCTCCTACTCCTCAAGGGGTGGACCCTTGGACTGGGAAATTTGGGGTTGGGGGAAGAAGGCATAAATAATTTTACTTTTTATGTGAGGGGCTCAATGTCCTAACCAAAGATTCAACTGTATATAATTTGACACTGGGCAAATTTGGATTGGGGACTGCAAGTGAATGTTCTATCCATCACCCCAAGAATGTTCCTCCATTTTAGTTCTTTATTATGGTAAAACAGTTATATCATAACTTTAACTGTTGGGCCTAAGGGTCCAGTTCAGCGGCATTAAGTTCATGTACAATATCATGCAGCCATTACTACTATTCTTTTCTAGAACTTTTTCTTCCCTGCCAGGGATGTGAGAGCAAGTATGTGATATGGAAGGTGACCCCAGGGAATATGCAGGGATGGGAAATGAGGAGGTCAGCAAAGTGCACTTATCCCTGGAGAATGAAGCATCACCGCTTGGGGGTTTGCAGAGTCGGTGGAGAACAGTCTGGAAGAGTTATCCCTCCAGAGGGACTGGAGAGCTGGGGCTTTGATCACCAGCGCCATCACTCTTTGGTTGAAGCCTGCTGGCTCCCAGAGAAAGCCTCAGGTAGTTGGAAGGTGGACCCAATCCCACATGCTGGGTCCCAGGGACATCTGAGCATCTGCCAAAGAGGGGCCACCATATGTGGTCGAGTAAATTTGATACATTAGTTAACTCCATAAAACTAGATTGTATGTTTAAAGACATACTAACTTAAATTGCCAGTTTCGCAACGGGGTGCCTGCTGAGCTGGGTTTGTGGGAATGAAGGGTCAGAGGAGCAGAGGGCAGTTGGGGGATATGTTCGAGAGTGGATTAGGATTGGGGCAGGGTTTGGGGGCCACTTACTCTGTCCGGGCCATTGCAGGTTTTCTGCATTGAGCTTCTGTTTTCACTAGAGAAAGAATTCTCCTTCACAAAAAGACATTTGAAAACCACTGTCACAGGGTGACGCTGATCTATAGGGAAGTGAGAGTTGATGAATGGCATTTCTGCTTAAGGAGCCTTTTCCAGGAATGAAGCCCACTCTACATGCAAGGATTGACTCTATTCAGTTAGAAACCTCATTTGTCTTAGGAAAGAAAAACAATGATTATTTTTCTTTAATTTGAGTTAGAATGCCAAGAATAATTAAAAACTAGTTTCTGTTCATAATAACTTAGACTTTCTTCAGCCCTTGGGAGTTATTTTACTCTTCCTGGGATGGTGCGGAGCATTGATGGTGTAGATCAGGGAAGGTCTGGGGTGACCTGGGACTTGTTGAACACCCCAGCCCCACAGGGAAGACAATATGTGTGTTCTATGTGTGTTGGGCCCATTTTGGGTAGGACCAAGAGGAGCAGGCTGAGTCCCAGGACTGGGTTGTAATCCCTGCATTGTTGCTCAGTCACTATGATCCAGGACAATTCCTTTCACCACTGTGTGCCTCAGTTTCCTCATCTGTGGTTGTATCTGAATTTGCTACTTGATTAAGAAGCAGTGACGTTCAGAGGAAGTGTAAGAAGGCATGTGGAAAAGTAGTATGTGATATAATGATGATAATCACTATTCCTGCCATTGTCCCTTAATTTAAAGAATATCAGAATTTTGTGGACACTTAGACCGACTCTACTTGATTTTTTTAACTTTTGACTCCCAGTGCTTTTTCCTGTCTTTTTCTTTCCTTCTTCGAAGAACTGGTTTAGGGTGGAAACTTGCCTCATTGAAGTAAGTCTCCCTCTAAAAGACTGTTGTTAAAAAGCTGGATTGAAGCCCACGGGGAAAATGTATGACACCCACTTGTGCTCTAAGACACTAAGAGCTCACACCCATGTGCAAGTACACCCAGCTAATCTCTGGCCACAGTCATGCACACACCTCAATAATTCACCCTCTTAACTTCCCTGTGCAGAATGTTTCTTGGACACACGTCAGCCTAGCCTGGCATTGCCTTTTCAGACTGTTCTAGTTAGTCCATTCACCTTTCCCTGTAGGCTCTGACTTTGGCAAACAGGGCCAGCCTGGCTTCCACCTTCCTGAACTTCCTGCTGCACCCATAAAGGAGAGGTGGAGGAGGAAGTGGTTCCACAGAGATCGACTACACATCCCCCAAAGTACACCTAAGCTCACATGCCTCTTGAGAGCTCCTGCCCAGGCCTTGGCAATGGGGACCTCTGGGACTGAAAGGGGAAGCCTGAGACAGGTGCCCCTGGCCTCTTGCACTCCCGGGGGAGGAAGCAGGTACGGGTACCCACAGATATTTTGTTTTGCTTGTCAGCAGGAGTTATTTTCTGCTCATAGAATCCAGGGATGAAAATCTAAGGGGTAAAGACTGGCCAGTGGGGAGGGCTAGACCAGTAAAGAAACCAGTTTAATGCTTTGCAAAGGAATAATCTGTTCTTGTGAATCTCTGGGACTAACCATTGATCATTAAAAAAAATCAAGAAATAAAATAACATAAAGCCACTGATCAGCCTTGCAAATCACAAAATCTTTTGGGGGCGCCATTGGATTTCCTCTCATGAACTCTCTGGGTCACTGCTGTCAGCTGTGGCCCACACGCCCATGCCCGCCATTGCTGAGGGATTAAGAGGCTGTGTGAGTAGTGCTCGCGAGGCTGAACTTTGGAATCTGGCTTCATATCCCAGCTGACCCACTTTCCAGCTGCATGACAGGGCTGTGCTACTTGACTTCTCTGTATGTTAGTCTCTGTCAGGTATGACGATAATCATTTTTATTTCATGGGTGTGGGAGGATTCAAGGCACTGAAAATACGGACGCTCTTAGAACTCTGCCTGACGCCCAAGATGATGTGTCACTAAAATCAATGATGTTCTTAACCCCCTCCTTGGAAAAGGGAGAATTGAGAGGTTGACTCAAGTTGCTCAAGTTCCACAGCCGGGGAATGGCATCACCGGGATCCCCGGTCTTTCCCCAATTGCACATTCTCTCTGTAACTGATCCCAAAGCATTTCTCTGCCCTTTTTCACCTTCCTCGATCCTTTCCTTCTGGCAACCAGTGGTTGCCACAGACTTTGGAATTTCAGTGCTGAGTTGGGCAGGTCTTCTCCACCTCCCCACCTGTCCCCCTCCTCACCTCCTACCCTCTCCCCTTCTATTCTTCCCTCTCCTTCCTTCTCCTCTCCCTTCCCTCCTCTCCCCTCCCCTCCAGGCCAGGTGGCGGAGGCAGGTAGAGGAGGCAACTTAGCAGTTTGGTAAGTGGCCAGCTGGTACCTTAAGGCTTATACCTTTTTCCTCTAATTGCAGACCTGGAGATCACAGTCCCAATTCGGCACTCACAGCTCCTGCCTGGGAAAGTGGAGTTTGGAGTCTATGAGAGTGGCCCCAGAAAAAGTGTCTTCCCCCCAAGGACAGAGCTAAGACGAGGAGACTGGAAAACAGACAGCACCTCAAGCACAGCAAGTGAGCAGGCTGGCCTGGAGCACTACAGAGCAGGACTCCAGCAAGCACATTTGGGTCTTGGAAACATTTTCTTTTTTTCTTTTAGGATCCCAGCAGATCCCCTCTGGAGCCTGATTAGGGTTTGGGAAGTGTAAGAAATGAGAAAATTTAGCCTGTTGAGGTTTACTTTTTATCAGGGTATTGAAGACCCTTTAAACAAATATCCCCAAAAACCTGATTATGAGATAATTATTACTCTATTCCTTTTATAAATAGAAAAACCTATAATCATACAAACTGTTATTGAGCATTGGTTGTATGCTAAGTCTCGTCCACAGATCCTCTAGTGTGAGTCTCACAACAGCTCTGTGAGATCGGCACTCTTGCCATATTTACTGAGGAAGGATATGGCTAAATAGTGAGTGGTGGAGCTGGGATTTGAACTTAGGCTGTCTGGAACCAGGACCAATGCCCTTAGCTTCTATTCTCGGTGCTTCCTCAGTTGTGGTAAGGGGGAGGAAAGGGCACAAAATTAAAAACATAAGAAAATAATGGACTCAAATTTGAGAATTCCAATTTTATAGGCAAGTTGAGGATCTAATAAGCAAATGTCTTCCTTTTGGCTTGAAAGCTGGAATAGACGTCAGATTGCAACAGACGATACACGCTGATGTGCAGGCAGAAGCTGGGCTTTGTTTTATATCCAGGCTCTGTGTCAGCTGACTGCAGAAACACCAGCTTCACAAGCCAAATTGAGTTTCCCTTCTGTCATACATTTTAGTGTTAAACAATCGAATAGGAAGGGAACAGTCAGACAGCTAGACACAAGCTGAACTCAGGACCCAGGTCCCCGTAAATGTCAGGCCAAGAATACTGAAATGGATGGTAGGACAGGAAGGTCATCTAACCCAGGGGTTCTTAATCTTTTCTGCTTTGCAAACCCCTTTGATAATATGACCTATGCTCTGATGTACTTCAGAGTACATGAACACACACACACACACCCACACACACACACACACACACACAATTTTGCCTGTTCATGGATTCAGATCAAGAACCTCTGAAATCATTCCCCTCCTTATTTTACAAATGGGTAATACAGAGAAGGAAAGTGGTTTTTTCATGGTCACACAGCCTGTAAGTGGCAAAGGAGAGTAGAAGCTTCCTGCCATGGTTACCTGTTGAAACAGACCCAAAGCTTATCACACGCCCACACAGGAAATCAAATATGGACAGAGTAAAATACCTCTCCTTATCTAATGGGGGATGATACTGTGTATCCAAAACTCACTGGAGGAAATTTAAAAAGACAGGCTTGGAAATGGGAGAGATTTTCTCAGATTACAGGTGGCAGAGAAGCCGGGGCAGGTGGCCCTTCTGTCAGAGAGCTCATGGAGGAGACAAGTGGTATGGACTCTACTGGGGTACGGGCAGTACATTCTAGGAGTAGGAAAGGGAAATTTAAGAAAGCAAATGCAAAGTACTCATTTCAGGTTCATTTAGAAGATTTTATATGCATGCTTTTCTTTGGGTTAGCCTGGGGTGAGAACAGAGTGGGAAGTGTAAACTGGGCTTCTTATTTGGCACCATGGCTCATTGCCCAGGGATGGCTAGCTCATCTGGCCAGGAAACGTTGTCAGTGACAATCTATGGCTTTTATTCCACTCTGTCTCCTGTAGACTACACTCAGTTCCTGCTACACAGTTTCAGTTATGTATTGCTATGGAACAAACCACCCAAAATGTAGTGGCTGGAAACGTAACCGTTTGTTTATGCCTGATTCTAAACTTGCACAAGACTCTTTAGAGGATGTTTCATCTTCTGCTCCATGAGGGACATTTGGGGTCACTCATGCCACTGTATTCAGCTATGAGCACTCTCTAGCCATGTGTGGTTATTTACATTTAAGTTAATTAAAAGTCAATGAAATTTACACTTTAGTTCTTCAGTTGAAGTAAACATGTTTCACACTAGCTACCATATCGGATGGCACACAATAGAACATTTCCAGAAAATTCTATTGGATAGCGCTATTCCAGTGATAATAGGTGATAGATTCCCATCTCAAGAGCCTTGAGCATAAAGGCACACAGTCACAGTTCCTACCATAAACATTAATTACACTTTTGAATTTGTACTTTGTGTTTTGTTTTGTGTCAAATGGCCCCTCATTAGAAGGTGGGCATACATGTATGACTCATGGATATATTCGCTGTAAATCTTAAGTAGTGAAAAACCACATCAGCAATTATGGGCAAATCACTGAACAAGCGAGAAATGCAGCCTCTCTGTTTTCTTGTCTCTAAAATCAGAGCACTAATATCAAGTAGGAGTGTCATAGGAGCTAAGCAGACATGATTACAAGCATCTAGTTTGTTGCCAGTCCTCAGGAAATGGCAGCCATAAAGCCCAAGAAAGGTAATGAGAAGGTGAATCATTTTGTTTCCTGCTGAAAGAAAAATGGATTTCTAGTAAATTGGTATAAAATGGTGGCATTTTGAAGATTTCCACATTCATACTTGTGCACTGTTTCTATCATTGAAAGCATCAGAGTCTGCATTTTGCTTGAACATAAATGAATCCGCAGTCCGTTTGACTTTGCTTGTACTCCATAGGCAGCGCGAGCAACCGATCCAGCACCCGGAGCCTCCTCAGCGTAAGCAGTGGAATGGAGGGGGACAACGAGGTGAGAGCCTGCCCCACCTGTCCTTGGGGTCATTCTTTGCAAGAAATAGATTTCCAAGGGGAAGAGAGAGACAAAAGGTCATATATTATAGGATTCCATTATATGAAATGTCCCGACAGGTAGATCCACAGAAACAGAGGGCAGATTGGAAGCTGCAGGGCTGGGGAGAGGGGGAAATGAGGCAATACTGCTTCATGGGGTGATTATCTGTGATGAGATAGTGATGGTGGTTGCACAGTTTTGTGAATGTACTGCGTGCCACTGGATGGTCTGCTTTAACATGGCTAGTTTTATGTTATGTGAATTTCACTGTAACAGGGAGGGAAGGAAGAATGGCACAGTAAGGCAAAGGGCGCCCCTCTGTGAGAAGGAGCTGGGTGAGTCAGGGAACCCACTACCACATGGCCTGGATCGGGAGTGGAGAGGCCTGTGAGGCCAAGGCCATCACTCATGACTGGGAGCTGCTACCTGCTTCTTCACCTCTGCTGCTTTCTGCACTTCTGCTTTCTTTTCTCCCTGCACACTAGCCTTTCCTGCAAACAGTCCCCTTTGCGCCTCAGGGCTCTGAGCAGAGAGACTCAACTGCTGTCTGAGGCTGAGGCCCAGTGTGGGTCAGGAACCCTGATGCAGTGACCCCGTGACAGGGGTGAGCGGGAGGGGATACCCTTGCACAGTCGTGTCACCCTATGACTGAGGCCCACTCACAGTTCTGTTGTTCCCAAAGGGGCTTTTGCTTAGAAGTAACATTTCTCCAGCTCTAAATGGCTAGATAGTACTTCCCAACCTTTAATATGCTTAAGAATTACCTGGGATCTTGTTAAAACACAGGTTCTGGGCGGGATTAAAAACCCCCCACAGCTTCTGAGAAGGGCACTGAGCCTGCCTTTCTCACAAGCTCCCTCATGATGCTGTGTTGGGGCCCACACACCACACTTGAGTGGCAAGGACTGAGGACTCAGGTCATGCACAATAATTCGGGCCCCAGGTCTCTTCAGTGACTCTGGAGTTAATAGAAAGTGCTGCTGGGTTGATTGGTAGTTTCTGAACTGCCTTCAGCCCAAACCTGAGGAGGACTGAGAGGTATGGGGCTGTCCAGCTGTGCTCTTTGCCTAATGTCCTTTCATCTTTCCGTTGTAGGACAACGAAGTTCCTGAGTTTACCCGAAGTCGGAGCCCAGGCCCCCTGCAGGTGGATGGAACACCAGCTGTGCCCCTTGAGAGGCCCCCCAGGGTGCCCCCCAGAGCCGCCTCCCAGAGGTAACACTGATGCCAATGTGACAGTTCCCCTCCCTCTCTGGATTCCAGATGGAGAGTAGAATTTGGGACATCTAAGATGACCTAAGAATGAGTACAGAACTCCCTGAAATGCCAACTTTTGACACATTTTAAATAGGACTCCAGTCTCTTTATTAATTTGTGATGCTTTACTCACTTGCAAGTATTTTAATAGCTAATGCAATATTTCATCATTGCATTTCATACTGGGCTCTGATGTATGGCTTTGTTCATAATGGTTCTTGGGCCTCTGGGAGGAACCTTTTCAAGGTCTCATGGAGAAACAGAAAAAGTGTCAAAGCTAGCTTGTGTGTCTGCTGGTGCAGAAAGGAGACCTTGAACATAAAGATGAGGCTCTTCTTAGGAATTTAATTCTTTGATGTCTTAAACATAATGTGGGGGGAAGTAATTAAAAGGAAGAACCTTTTTACAGGACCTGGATTTTTTTTTTCATTTTCAAACTTTTAACGCCATTGATTCTCATCAGTGGAATTTGTCAAGAAAGTGCAACAAGGAGGACGGAATGATAAGTTGACTCTGTTCTAAGATCTTTCCATTTCTCCTGTGCTGGTGACCACTTTCTGCAAATATAGAAAGTGGGGCTTGAGGCACCTCTCTGCTTGCCTGTGACTATGCTGGTTCCTCTTTTCCCTCTCTCCTTTTCCTAATAAACCCATCCTTTTAAAATGTGGAAAAAAAAAAAAAGGCAAAGACAAATGAGAGAAAAAGCAAGTAGAGATTGAGAGTAGATTGAAACTTGCTTTGTGTGGCAAACTTGAATATGCCTGATGCCAGGATCCAGTTTCTTAGAGATTTTGTCACACCTCCCCAGGAAGGTTGAGGTATCACAGGAGGCCTTCTGATTTCTAAGACGTTTTGTTCCTGGCGATTGAAGACTTTGAAGCAGTTGTGTACTTGTACCAAGAAAAAAGAGTGGCAAACTTGAAACTATAGCTACACGACAGTGTGATTGTGTTAATGGGAGAGAAAAAGAAAACAACCCGGGAAACAGGTTCCAGAAATTAAAGGGTAGAAACTGGGATGCATTTAAATGTGTGAAGAGAGATGGCAGATGAATTGTTTAGGGCAGGCTGGAAGCATGTTGTGATAAAAATGGGGAGAGGAAGAAGGCAAACACTTTTTACTAAAGAAGGCATGTTTGCTAAGAAACCTGTAAATGATAGAACTGGGGGCTTGAGTGCATTTTTGGTGTGAAGAGAGATTTGCAAATATGCAATTGTTTTGTATGTATGCAATTTTCAGAAAATGAGATGTTTGAGAAAGCAACAAAACAGGTCCCTCTCCTTGACCTGCTAACAGACAGAGGAGAGGCTGACTAGATGGTCTCCTCTCCACTTGTTTCCTGCCCATGTTCTCCTGAAACCCCCACATCCCCTTCCTCTCAAGCAGCACTGGTGGGTGCAGGCTCCTTCATCACTCTCTCACATCCTGCTCCATTCCACTCCTCACTCTGCATGCTGTCCTCACGGCTTGAAGTGCCAGCACACTCCAAATCTCCACCTTCATCTCCACCCCAGCCTTCTGCTTTCTGCTGTTTACCGGGGACTTCACCCAGCTGTCCTATGGATAGCTCAGACATAGCCTCTGCAAAGCTGGACTCGCATCCCTCCTGCTATTCTCTGCCTTCTTCTCATGGATTCCCAGACTGAGCTAATAGCAACATTCTCTCCCCTCCGCACACCTCAAAGTGGGAATCAACTTCCATTCCTGCCTCTTTCTCAGCTCCAACATGTGCTGTGTCTCTAGGCTCTGTCCATCTTGCTGCCCTTTCGGCTCTCAGATCCACCCCCTTCCTTCCATCTGCCATTGCCTGAGTTCATCCTTGGAGGCCCACACTTACCACCCTGCCTCCTCCACGCTGCAACTAGAGCGTACGGTCTAGAACAGAAATAGCTGATGATGTCACTTCCTGGCATTAAAGCCTTCACATTTAAGTTTGTATTTTTTAGCATCCTCCAGGTCTTGTCTAGCCTCTCCTGTATTCATCAATGCTCCATTCCTTAAGAATTCCCAGTGAGTGGTGCCATTTTATATTGTCTTTGCACTATCTATTCCTTTTGCTGGAATGCTGTCTTTCTATTCCCTTCCAACCTCTGCTTAGAAAATTCCTTGAGAACCCAATCCAAACATTGCCTCCTCTATGAAGCTTCCCTGGTTGTTCCTATGCAGAGTGAATTTTTGTTTGGTTCCCCAATACCTCTATTATAATTCCTGCTTTAAAAGAACATTAACCAACATCAGGATTGCTGGGTTCTTTGGCCCAAACTCATCTGGAGCAAGACCTCATGCTCAATAGGGGCAGAGAAAGTAGCCAGTGCCCAGGCAGTTCTGGACAGTCATCTCTCCAAATCTAGTTTTCCAATGTCCTAAAGAGACTCCTTCTGTAGACCAATTCTTGATTCTGATTTAATACCCTTCACTTTCATGGCTGTGAGATAGCTATCATTTCAAATCCTCTTCCCGAGATGGAGTTCTCAGTCTGTAGCTGGGTGGTTCAGAGGAACGAGATACAGAGATGCCTTCCTTATAGACCTACCCCCACTGCAGAGTGGGGCAGCAGAGAGGAGAGGGGGTGAGGCACAGCCTAGGGGCGCCCCAGGTGTAAGCTGCAACCTGCCCCTTTACTCATCAGGAGGAGACTGAAGAAAGAGGCAAACTACTCTGTTTTGTGAGGTAGCCATTTTAATGAACAAGGGAGCTTATTTAGGAGGCATTGTCCTGGATGACCCAAAGATGAGTAGTGTTCCCACCACCTCCCACCAAATCTCAAAGTCTTAGAAAGACTGTAACTGTGTCCAATCATGTATGGAGTCCAGAGAGCCTCAACCACACACCCCATGCTGTAACACAGCCTCTCAAGGCTGTATCCTTAGAACAGCTTCCCTTATTAAAAACTTCCCCTATCAAAATAGTACAGTTCTCTAATTGTCTCATCTGTTACATTCTCAGTAACCTGAGACGGGGACACATGTCCATTTTATTAGTTATTATATCTCCCACCCAGGAGTAGATGCATAATAGATAAATGCTTGGGGAGAGGTATAGAGAGGAGAGGCTCAGATACTAAGTGGTATCATCTGACTGTCCTTCAATTTTCTCCTTTAAGCCAATAGTTCATAGGGCAGACCTGGGAGATAGAAGGAGACAGTCCATTTGTTTTCTCTGGATAGAGTCAGCCATGCAAAACCAGGGGCCAGAACAGGATCTCAGGGGATTCTCTGAGTTATTCTTTTCTACTTCAGCTCCCCCCCCCTTTTGTTCCTAAAATGACCCCTCTTTTTCCAACTCTCATGTTGTTTCTTTGACCTACGCAGAACTTACATTCACGAGACATTTAGTAAATATTTAGTCATTGATTCATTCAGCCCTCCAGTATGCAGCTCCAAGGTAGCACAGTTCAATTGTAGCACCTGACAAAGCTCTCTTTCTTGACTTATTGACTTATTTCCAAGAGAATTAAATATTGATTTTACAGCAAACATGTGGAAATACCATCGGTAATCGTTGAACATATCTGTAAATAGACTTGCCCAAGTCTGCTGCGGCTGTTCAGAAACCATCTAGAATAACATAGAGGGGGGCTTCTAGGAAAGCAAATGTGAGTTGGGATAATACACTTAGTAATCTCATGAAGAAGTAGTTGTGAGTAGAATTCAAAAATTCTCAGTTCCTCTCCCAAGAGAGTATTCTTCTACCATGTATGTCTTGCCTGACTGCATATTTGAATTACTGGTCTTTTAAAATATAGGCTTTATTATTATTTAATAATGCCAAAGGCAACAGATCAGTAGATGACTGCCATTGAAAAGATAATTTGTTATATCCACATCTCAAGAGGAAGGGAACACTGCTATGTAGGGCCACTGGGGAAAGCAACAGGGTCAGTCAGAAAGAGGGGGCTAGAGCCTTTATTGTGGTTTCTGCAGGAGGGAGCTAGTGAGACAGGGTAAGCAGATTTAGGATTGGCTAGTTTCAGTTAATTTCAACAGGTTCTGGGGCAGAAGGACTGTCTCTAGTTGGCTGGTACCTGGCCTTAGGATGATTAGGGCAGGTGGATCGTGACCCTGAATAGGAAAGCCAGATGAAGGAGATGGTGAGGCATAGACTCTGGATTGGTTGGTTTGCATATGAAAAGCACATTCACAGGCAAGTTGCTAATGCTTTCTAGAAACTGTCTAACCCCTTGAGAGGCAGTCCTTCCAGATCACCAAGGCCCCAGATGTCAAAGCACCAGAAAATAAAAGATATGATTAATAGTGGTGGGTGGGACACCATTAAAAAATGGTGATACTTGAGCCTTGTTCTCTAGGGATTATGAACAACTGGGTCTGGGATAGAGCCTGGGATTTGGTATTTTTCAGAGCTTTTTTTGAGATTCTAATGTGCAGTTAGGGTTGAGAACCACAGCTAGCATAGACATCACTCCATGGTTTATGTGTGTGCAGTTTCATTAATTGAGGAACATGTCCCTGTCATGGGATACTAAGTTTGCAACAGGTTATGGATGCCAAAGAACTAGTTAAACAAATTGATTTTAAAATAGAGTTGTTTTATTTTTCATTTCAGGCCGCTGACCAGAGAAACCTTCCATCCTCCTCCACCTGTTCCACCCAGGGGTCGCTGATTCCATCTCCTAAAACCCACCTACTTTAGGACTTTGAGACTTGATTTTCAGCCTTTTAATGATGTCCTCATTTTGAGTTTCATGCATGACTGCTGACCTTAAGACCTACTCTCACAGTTGATTTTATTTCGGCCCTGCTGGTTTGGGCTTTCCCTGAAGAAGTTACTATTAAGACATGAAGAAGTGGAAAAACTAAGGACTTTATTCACCAGTGCCAAACACATTGATCTGTCTCTTCTTGTTTGCCAAAAGGACCAAGACTTAATTGGGATACTTACCTCTACTTTGGCATGTCAGAGCCTGAAAAGATTGATCAAAAGTGTACTTTTGCCAGTAATTTTACTGAAATGCACCTATATTAGAACTTATGTATTTGCTAGTCCAGTCTAATTTCTAGAAGTGATTATAAATTAAGACTTAAAGTATTCAAGTAATAAGATATGTCCTAATTTTTAAAAGACTTCAATTTTTTTGCAGATTCAGAAGGCTGTTTAATTGCCAGGGCTCGCCACATACAACACACTGAAAAAGACTTTAAAGATATTAATCCTAACTCCTCTTATACAGAAGGCAAAGCTGAGGTTCCACAGAAATCTGGAACCTAGACCACTCAGTTGGTAAGAGGAAGAAGAGAACCTAGAAGCTAGTCTTGCCTTCCATCTCCAAATAGCCAAACCCACTCCCTTGAGATATGTCCAGATGTAGAAATGTCCAGATGTTGTCATTGACTGACTATTGGCCTTCTAGAATCTTCCTTCTTCCATATATCCCATGTGCATGGGACTATCGAGTTTTTCTTCCCCTTAGTTTGGGCATTTATACTTCATCATGCATTTAAAACAGTGATGTTGCCAAGGAACACATTACAATGGTGAAAAACAGAAGCTTGGGGTGCAAGGGACCCCATTCATTGCTCTGCAGCCTTTAAAACTTTTAGTTCTAGCCATAAGGAGAGGGACGGACCCTTGATTTTTTTCTGCTGAGGGATCATGAGAGGAAGGAAGAACTTAAAACAGAAATAGTTATCTGTTTCCTAATACACCTAGATTTCCTACCAGACTTGGGATATCTATTTATGCAGAGAGTGTACAGCCTTAAATATGCCATTAATTTTGAGTTCCAAGAACATCATTGTATCTTCAAAGCTTGAGTCCTTAATTTTGCTTAATCATACAGTAAGGTTAATATCTGACCCATTTGTTTAAAAAATATCAGCTATCTAGTGGTCTTCCATGGAATTAGTCTCTATCTCACACAAATATATAAAAGCCACACCATTAATTATCCATTTAAGTACAGTTTTATTGGGTTCTTTTCTAATGATTAAGTCCTTCTGTCCAGTAAACAGGGACTCTTATTGAAGTTAATAGCTTCTGGGGCCCTAGGTTTGGTTTTTGGTGTTTTTTTTTTTCCTGACATAAAATACTCTATTGGCCATCAAGAGTATTTGTGTAAATTACCACAATGCCTGGTAATAGTAGCCATTCTGCAATTGTCCCTTGTCACTTATTTGGGAGAAATATTGGTAATGTGAGATAAAGTAACAGCAAGAAATTATCTTGGATGGCTGTCTTTCCTGTTATTTATATACAGTTTCCATCTTAAGCACATTTGATATTGATAAATGCTACACTTTTAAAAAAATATTCAATACCTTGAAGTCACTTTTGGGTGTCAAACTTATCTTTCTACATTCTCTGATTAACAAGCATTTAGATCAATAACATGGCAAGACCCACTAGCAGGCAATAATGTCAACATCTTTTCAATGATGTCAACAGTGTATGTTACTGTTTACAATATTGGGATATTTCATCCTAACATAAAATTAATAGAAAAATATAACATTGACAGTATGGATGAGAAGTCTGGGTTTCATAAATGTGACACACTTGAGAGGTGAATGGAAAGATCAGGAAATCCAAGTTAAAAAGTGGAGAATCTTAAGCTCTCACTGGCTGTTCACCAACTTGCAAGACAATTGGTTGTATATAAAAGTAAAAGAAGAAAATGAAAAAGAAATTGGATGAAATACTGGATGCATGCTATTAAGGAATGTCTCTAATAATGAGGTGAAATTTTACATTCTCTAGAAACAAAACCACCCATTATAACATACATTTATTCAAGTTTCATATACTCAAATTTTGTACGCATTTTTTGGGACACATTATATAACAAAGCATGAGTTTCCATATGAGGAGGGTCAGAAAATAAATTATAGTTGGTCTCCATAGAGACTATTATAACTTTCCTATATGATAATTTGGAACACAGTTCTGTGGCCACTATCCTGCCCCAAGATTTTACAAGCTGTTTCAATAGAAAGTAAAGCTGTTGGTCACATTCACAGCCATTGCCTTTCCCTCTAAGTGTACAAAGTACAATGGCCTCCAATAGACAAGTACGCTTCTTTCATCATATAGTAAAACCTGTGAGCAGATAACTCAACTACATAAGTAACAAAATATGAAGACTGAGACACAATAAACAAGAGGTTGGTGTTGCAATCAAATAATTTAACTTGACATATTTAATGACGTGAATAATCCTTAATGTTTTGCCATAATTGGGAAAAGTGATGTGATGGAAATAACTTTAATGAATATTTTTACAAATCAAGCAAAGTTACCTACACTTGCCACCCTTTTCTTGCTTTGTTATCAAGAACAGAGAAGTTCTGGTTGATTCCATAATCACCCTCAATAGATGGGATTTTCAGATCCCTCTCTCACATGTAGTTTGGGTTTCTGTACTCCTCTTTCAAAGAATAGTGTGTGTTTTTGCAGCTGGTTAAAAAAGTAACAGATTTGTTTCTAAGAAAGACAAGTGACTAATTTGGCTAACTCTAAGAGAGTCATCCTGAAAATCAATCCTTAGTTTTGAGGTCATATTTGCTTTTGTTTGATAAATAGTGTTTTATTAATTTTCAAGTAAGTTATTAAGAATATAAATTGGCCTTACTCATTTTTGATGACCAGATACTTTCTCCCCAGGGTGGAGAAAGGATGATTAGGGGGTTTAAAGATATGCCCTGAGTTCTGAGGCACAACTCAGAATTTTTTTTTCTCACAGAAACTGTAATAAACAGTAGGTTTCCAGGCAAGTCTGCCAAAGCCGTGTATCCCATGCTGCAGGGGAAGATGTATTAGCTGGCTATGCAGTGAGAGTGAGGATGGCGGAGGGAAGAGAACGTTGACTTGGAAGTCAATAAAGCTGAGTTTTATTTCGTTCTGCTACTGACTAGCTGAGTTCACATCGCTTGATACACTGGGTGTATTTTATCATCTGTGGAGTAAAGAGCTTTGTATTTAGTTATAGTCTGGGTCCTTTCAACTTTGAGTCCAACACAGGGATGGGGAATCCCACATTCTGAAGAAGCAGGGAGTCAACACCTAATTGACAAGACATCTTATTATGTTGCGGCCTCTGTTCCTTGTCCTGCATCATTGTTATAACAGATCGGTTTAAAAAAAAAAAGTGAGAAAGAGTACAAAGAAATTAATAGCCTTAGTTGCTCTTCAGTCCATGAGCCGAATGTCTTACTGATCACCTCCTAAAGAAAACTCAGAACAAATATCAAGTTCTTTGGTGTCTAGACATTTCAGCTAAAATGGAAGAGGTAGAGGTAGGAGGTGGAAGGTGTTAAATAGAAATATCAGGACTGCCCCATCCCAGAAGCAAATGACTAGCAGGACAAACATCATAGAATTGAAAGCAAAAATAGAATTTCAAAGAAAAGGTAGCTGAGGTTGGAAATCAGAAGATATATTGTCCCCTGTAAACCAAGACTTTTGATGATTATATTTTTTGAGATGAGAATAAAAGATTGGGATTGTGGTTTTCTGGATCATGTGCTGGTCATAAAATATTTAGTCAATAGAGTCTTATTAGAATTACTGTAAAAAGATGCTGTACAGCTATTTGGGAAAGGGGGGGTCCTTTCAGTGGCATTTCTCCCCCTATTTTTTGATATCAGAGGATGAGGTCATTAATCTAGATGAAGGAACTGGCAAAATAAGAGATATTGATTTTTCCCACTCTTCAGTTTGGTGAAACAGTCCTGATGTTTTCCCCTGATTTATGTTTTACTTATGTTTAATGAATTAATTTTTTTTCTTTACCACTATCCTTTACTTCCCTTGTCCCTTGCCTTGATTTTGATGGGGCCCTGATGTCTAATTGGTTTTGAGCCTTGAGGTCATCAGGTACCAAGGATCTTTGAAGCCTCACTCCTTTTCCACTAAATAAAACCATTCATCATCCTTATTTCTTAGTATTTACCAGAGTTCCTGGCACATAGTACATGCTCAATAAATAAATACCTGCCAAATTAATAACCTTATATGCTCTTCCTGTTACAAGGCAACTCCAATGTGAAATGGATTGGCCTGAGTGTGGGTCCTCAACAGCACGCTTAAAAGGGACTGATAATGAGACTCAACTGCAGGCACACGCAAAAAGGTTAATAAAGAGTTTATTTATAGAAAGGGGAAATGAAGAAAGGAATAACTCAGGGAGAAAGATAGATAAATCTGTGACTGTGTCCCACCAGTTCTGCTGATCTGGAACCCCAATGGCACGCTGAAGGCTGGCGAAAAATCAAGGACCCCCAAGGCCCACATGTCTGGTTTTATGCCACGCCTGGCTGCTTAACTCCACCCTTAGTTCCCAGCAATCCTCCCTTTGGTGGTGATGGAGATTATAAGATTTTCAGTCCTTGGTGTCCTGGATCTCTTTGGTCTGGGTTGGGGGTGGGGTCCATAAAACCTGTGTTTGTGGAGTTTGTTCAGGACAGCCTTTCCCCTCAACAGGTGAATGAACACAAACGTTCCAACTATTAAACTTTCCTAAACATTCCACCCAAACAGGGTTTCCTCTTGTCTCCTTGCCCATTACTCTTATTGCTGCTCAAACATTTGCACAATGGGTCCATTTTGTGCCATATTTTTTGTACATTGTTATGCCTATTCTCTGTTTATATGTTTGTACTTGTTCCCTGTTTATGTCATGTTTACTACTTTAAAGTCTACATTCCCCAAATGCATACTTTATACGTTTTCTTGCATCTTCTTCGTCCCTAAATGATTGCCAACCAAGTACTCCCCACACCACCTAACAAATGTTTACCTGCTTAAATCTGTGGAGGCTGGTGATGGATGTTCAAACAAAAAACTACTCATCCATCTTAATTCAGCACTTACACTGCTTGTTCTTCAATTGCCCATCATCACTTGATTCAAGAGCAGTGATTTATTCATTCACAGAGCATTTACTCAACTTCTACTATGAGCAAGTCACTAGGTGCTCTGCGGGATATACAAAGATGTAAAAGACGCCTCCTCTGATTTCTACAGCAATTACTGGCATATGACTCATTCAGCAATTAATTATGTGCTGCCTTGTGCTTGTCTCTTAGACTACCTAGAAAGTGTTCTTTAAATCCTGCTAATCTGTTCGACTTTTTACTTATTAATGTCTTCATTAATTCAGTTATTCGGCAAATAGTTATTGAATGTCTATGATATGACAAGCAATATCCCTGCAGCCAGGACTGGTAAAAACAAATGGTGGTTCCTGCCATCTAAAAAAGGAGCAGAAATTAGTACAGAAGAAGAAATTGGGTTAGCAGTTATAACTAACCCCAAAGAAGACTGCTCAACTTCTTCAGGGAATCATGCCAGATTTCAGTGAAGAGGTGACAATTCAATTAGACCTGGAAGGAGAGTAACGATTGTCCATTTATTTGCATCCAAAGGGAATGTCAAGAACAAATGCAAAAAAAATGCAAAAGACCAGGTGTATTTGGGACATAAGGGATGAAGTCAGAGCACAGGAATCTGTGGGAGGTAAAAGTGGGGAAATAAGTTGAAGTCTGGTTTTGCAGCTGCGTGCTAACAGGATTTGATCCTTTAGCAAGGAACTTTTTTTTTTCCTGATTATATATGTCATTGTATAAGATCATGGTAAAAAATATCCAATCATTCCCAGGCACTACAAAACAGAAAGTTAAATGGTTTATTTTTTTTAAAAGATTTATTTATTTATGTATATAAGAACTGGGGTACAGGCCAGAGATGCAAGGGGGAGGGGAAGAGGATTCACCAGGGACAGAGTGGGGAACAGAACAGGCAGACTGACTGAAATACGCTGCTGAGGGGAGCAACGGGCGAGTCAGGAGAGGTCTACTGTACCATGTGGGTAGCTCTCTGGTGGGGGATTGAACTCCTGCTGCAGAGGCTGCGGACAGCTTCATAGATTGTGTCTTGCGCCACCAGGGAGGTTTAAATGATAATCTTTCAGCTTGTTTTCTAACTAGACTAATATATTGCCATTTAAATTGGGGTTTGTATTTTTTTTTTTCATTTAGAAGAATCTCTTGGATATCATTCCACACCAGTACACATAGTCTATTTCATTATTTAAAATGACTATGGATGGTAATCCATGAGTAGTAAGAAAGACTGATTCTGAAACCAGACTGCTTAGGTCTGGTCTTTCAGCAAGTCACTGAACCTCTCCTTGATGCAGTTACCTTCTCTGCAAAATGAACAGACTAATAGTACCTCTTGTTGCCTATGCCTTATGCATAGGTTTTTGTTAGGATCACATGTAAAGTGTTGAAAATAGTGCCTGGTAGATGAAAATCTTAGCTGTGATTCTATTTTTATTTAAACATTCAAGAGTGCTTTAAGAAAAAAAGTGATATAATCAGTGTTTTTTTTTTTTTTGAAAGGTCATCTGGGGAGGATAAACAGGGAGAGAGGATTGGTGGTAGGAATCTGTAGTGAGATGGAGATTGGCTATTACTGGCAGAAAGGAAAAAACAACTCTTGAGACATTTCTAAGAGCCCAAATGCTAGAATTTGTTGACTGCGGATGGCTGAGAAATACCCAATCTGACTACAAATTCCAGATATTTGTCTCAGAGGTCTGCTTAGATGGGTGCTGCAGTAGTCATATATTTGACAAATTATCTTCGAGTTCCTTCTACGGGTCTGGGACTGTTCTAGGCACAGAAAATAAGGAGGTAGACAAATCTGTGCTTAAGGAGAGCTTAGATTCCAAGTGTTTACTCCCGTGAGCGGGAGACCCAATAAATAGTAAACAAACACATGAAGAAGAATTTCAACAAGATCGACTACTAGGAGCACAGTAAATATTCAGTGACGTAAAACATTTACCCAACCCTGTACAAGATTAACAGCTCCCATAAGGACGATTATAGGAGCTCGTGATTCACCAGCGGTAGACCCCCAAGTTGGGCAGGTCAGCAGTGAACCCCCATAATGACGATTACAGGAGCTTGTGATTCACCAGCGGTAGACCCCCAAGCTGGGCAGGTCAGCAGTGAACCCCCATAATGACGATTACAGGAGCTCGTGATTCACCAGCGGTAGACCCCCCAAGTTGGGCAGGTCAGCAGTGAACCCCATTTCACAGCGCAGGAATGAGAGGCCGGGAAAAGTAAATGACCACTGTTTAAAAAAAGGTCCAGCCATTCACAGACACGTACAAAATAGAAAGTTAAATGGTTTAAGAGACGATCTTTCAGCTCGTTTTCTTTCTAGACTATCTGGCCAAGGTCACGCCTGGATGTCGCTGGGAGCCGGCCCCGACCCTGGGGCGCCGTCCGGGCCCCCACGGGGGGCTGGGGCGCGCCCGAGGAGCCGGCTCCGGGGCCGGGGGCGGCGCGCGGGCCGGCGGCTCCGGGCGGGGCGCCGGCGGCGGTTGCGGGCCGCGTCGCGCGGCACTTCCGGCGTGTGCCGGGGTGGCCGGATGACGTGGCTGAGTCAGAGGAAGAGGCTGAGGAGGCGCCGGGGGGCGGGGGAGGCTCGGGAGCGGGCGGTGACGGCGGCGGCGGCGCGGAGGAGCCAGCGGCTGGGCCCGGGCCCGGTGCGTCTGTCCGCGCCCCGTGGATGCGAATCGGCCGCGGCGGACGCGGCGGCGGCGGCGGAGGAGCTGGTGGGCCGGCGCCGGGCCGGTGGGCGCGCGCAGGATGAGGCCGCTGCCGGGCGCTCCCGGCGTGGCGGCGGCCGCCGCGCTGTTGCTGCTGCTGCTGCCCCGGGCCCGGGCGGACGAGCACGAGCACACGGTGAGACGCGCCCCACGCCGCTCGGGGCCGCCGCGGCCCGCTCGCCCCGCTCGCCACCCCGCAGGCCCCGCGCGGCCTGGAGGGCCGGACCGCCCGGGGGCGCCTTCCGGTTGGGCCTGGTGGAGCCGGAGCCCCGGCGCCGGGAGGACGCGTTTCCGTGCGCTCCGGGACGGGGCCCCGCGCCCCCGGGGCCTGGGCCTGCCTCCCCGGCCCGGCCTTAAATGGCGCCGCTCTCTTCGGTCTCTTTGGTGTCGGCGCCGGGGCCGGGAAGGGAGCCGGCGGAGGGTCGGGGCTCCCTTCGCCGCCGGGGCCGGGGCGGGGCGGGGGCGGGCTAGGGGTGGGGACCCCGGGGCCGGGAACCGCTCGCCGCGGCCGGGGCCCCGACCCCGCGGAGGGTGGACGCTCGGCGACGGCCGGGCGGCTCTCACCAGGAAATATCCACTCAGGGTCCTCTGCGCCTTCATTTCCTCCTCCTGCCCGAGCCGGATTGAAGCCCTGGCGTGGCGACGGCACCGATAAAAACTTGGGGTGAACAGCACTTCACACGTGTACGTGCACTCAGCCTGCACGTACTCAGTTCCCAGATTTTTCTTGAAACTTTTTCTTCACCACCTTCCAGCCCCGTAGTTGAGGCTCCCACCCTGGTGGTCTCTACCCCGGGCAGCTTTTGATTGCAAGGGGTCCTGAGTTTCCCGGTCTTCCCGGAATGGCCTCTTTTGCATTGGGCCTGAAATTGGTTCTCTTTTGTTTTCACATCAAAGCTTGAATGTTATCGAGTGACTTTCTCTTAGGGCTGTAACTCGATTTTCAGGATGGTAGGTGTGAGCAAGGCAGGAAAGTCATGTAAATTGAGAGGTTGCTGGGCGAGTAATTATTATTATTATTATTTTTAGAATAGCTTAGCGCGTCAGTAATGTGATTTTGCAGGAGAGAGTGTGTATGTACGAAATTTGAAAGATCTGGGGGCGTTTTCCGGCATTCCTGATAGGTGAGGAAAATCAAACAGTCGTCTTTATTCATTGGACCCTACTTTAGATTTCATTGGTAATTAACAAGACTTCTCACTAGTCCCTGGATTAGCTGGGCTCTTACTTTAGCTAATAGAAGCTCTAAACTTTTGACTATTTTACCTTCAATTATAGTCAGAAACTTATTGTTTCTTTTTTTTTTTTAGGGACACAAACCTCGAATCGATGACGGGTTTTTGTGCTATATTCAAGATAATTTTGTTCCCAGATTCAGTAGTTAAGAACTGTTTTTCATTTGTTTCTTCTGTCGGGTTGTTCCAAAGTGCAGGTGTTTATTTTCAGTAGGCATTTTATTGGTCAGTGGTATTGCTACTAATATTTTTCCAGTTTTTTTTTTTTTAACACTTAGAGAAACTTACATGTAAAACTCAGAACCCTCTCTTAACTATAATTCCACCATACAGCTATACACAAGCTTAGGGTAGTATTCTACTTTTTTATCTTGTGCTTTATATGAACTGTTATAAGTAAGGAAAATTATTAATTAAAATCTCACAAGTTGGAAGTTTATAAAGATCTGAGAATAACTTACAGATTAAAAATGTAAATATACCAATTTCAATGAAACTTTATTGCCAGGAACAGTTTAATTTTTTTTCTTCCAGTAATTATAAAATATTTGATAAAAGGTTTTTGAGATAATACAATATGAGATGGTTGCTGCACAATTTGGAATCCTTTTCATTGTATGTCAACAACATTAAACTGCTCTCAATTGGCTTCCTATTGTTAATACTCAATAAAAAGGCAACAAGTTATACAGAAAGAATAGCATTAAGATAAGTCTAAAGTTTAAATAACTCATTCACGTATATGTATTTTTGCTATTAGCCAGAAAGTTTTACTTTTTTCCAAGTTTCTTGAAAAGTAGGCATTCACCTTAAGCAGATGATTTTTTTTTTCTCTTCAAAAGAAAAAAGTAGCCAGTGAAGTAAGAATGATACTGAAGGTGGAAGAGAAAAATTGCTAAGGGAAGGTTCCTGAGTAGATGTTTAGTAAATACCCATGGTATTGAATTACTAAAGAATTTCAGAAGCTAGGTTTGCCCTTTAAATTAACTTTCCTTGAAAACTGTCCAAGTAGAAATAATAATAGGGCTTTGTTGTGGTATGTGCTAGGTTCTGTTCTAATGCTTTATATATATTAACTCATTTTTAGCTTGTATTAATAATCTTGGGGGTTATTGGTTCATTTTATTTATTTATTTTTTAAAGATTTATTTATTTATGCGAGAACTGGGGTACAGGCCAGATGCGCAGGAGGGTAAGAGGATTCACCAGAGACAGAGAGGGGAACAGAACAGGCAGACTGATGAAATACACTGCTGAGTGGAGGAGCGGGCGAGACAGGAGAGGTCTGCTTTGCCATGTGGGACCCTCGCCAGCTGGCTGGGATCAAACTGCGCTGCAGAGGCTGTGGACAGCTTCACAGGACTGCTCTCAACCACCTGTGCCACCAGGGGAGGCCCTATTGGTTCGTTTTAGATGCATAGTTTTGGGGATGCCTGATGTGATTTAGGGGCTTTAGCTGGGCTAAAAATCCCTTTTCTTTGTGGTCCGTTGTACCTCTGATAGGTTATGTTGGAATCTCTTTTATAGAGCGGTTAAGTTACATGCCCAAGGCCACACAAACAGTAGGGGTAGAAGTAGGCTTATAGGATATGCTTTTTAGCCCTTTATCCTAAAAATAGGATGGTGAAACAGTTGTATTAAGTTTAGTAGTTCTCTGTATTGATGGTATTTTTAAGTAGTTAAAGAATGCTTGAATAAATCTAGCCCCTTAATGAGTTGTTACTGAAGAGAGTTTTAGGTTGGCATAAAAGAGGGACAAGCACTGATTTAATAGGCATAAAACCTGCCCAGCCACACAATATGTGCAGGCATGTAAAGACTGTGTTTGGTTTTATGCTTTGCTGTTACCACCTTTGAAATTCTTCAGTTTTGAGCAATGGGTACTGCATTTTTATTTTGTATTGGGCCCAACAAATTGTATAGCTGGTCTTAAGGGACAGCTGTTCTATGCATTTCCACAAATCCCTATTTCTCTTACTTTATCTACTGAATTAGGATTCAGCTGACCATTTCACCATTGTCATTTTTTTATGTATTTATTTATCCAAAGCTCTTTTAATATTCTCAGAATAATGAAAAAGAAATGTGCTATTGACTAATAAAGTATGTGCATCTAGAATATATAAAGATCTGTTCCTTTCAAAATTTTTAAAAGTCAAATCATGTATGGATTACAGGACAGTGAAATAAAAATTAAGAACACTTTCATGAAAGGCTCTTAATAATGATTGAAGAGACACTCTTTAGATGAATGAAAGATGCATAAGGCGTGGTTTATGTTTTTTGGTTTTAAGCTTCTAGAGTTAGATTAGCATGTCTCCTAAGAGTCCACAGTACTCCATTAAAAAGATTTCAAGTTAAGAATCATGGAATTTTAGAACTAGGAAGACTTGAGATCATTTAATACAACACTTTGATTTTCCTAGTGACCTGATGGGGCTCACTGACTGGCCCAAGGTCACAGAAAGAATCTGAGCTTCCTGATCTCTAGTCCTTGCTTTTTCTGCTTGTTTTATATTTAACATTTTCATTCATAGCACTGCTACGTAAAGATGTCAGCACCAAAAAACCAGCCAACCAAACAAGCAACAATCAGGGCACAGTAATCTTGAAAGCATTTTATTGTTTGCACTGTAGTCTTGAATTTTTCATTCCTCAAGATCATAAGTCAAAACTTTTTTTTTTTTTTTAGTCTGTTACGTACCCATACACTGTTTGGGCACAGCAAGTGATACTTAATCAGTGCTTGTTGAATGAGTTGAATAATTAGAGATATCAGGAACAAGAATATGCAATTTTGGAAGCATGTACCTATTGCTTAAAACACAATGAACAAACTCAGACCATTGTTCATTTAAGATGTATGGGCTAAAATCCCCTGTCCTTGTGGCCCATTGTACCGCTGGTAGGTAATGTACAGGAAAACACTCCTAGCCTCTACCTTAAACACTTCTACCCCAAGTGATCTCAGAAATCTTTGTTTCCTTTACTTTGGCAAATGACAACCTTTTGTCTTCATCTCTTTTGGGTGTATAGGAATTCTTAAAACTTATTTGTAAATTTATAAGGATAATAAAGTCTTTATAAGTGCATTTGTGAGTGCTGTCATATAGATCTGGTTTTAGGACGTGTCATAATTTATTGTCCTATTTTCAGCTGTACTCTGGTAAACTGTGTTTATTTAAAAACAAAGCTATTTTAAGAGAGAGAGAAAGCAGTTACCGCTAGAGACTATCTAAAAATAAACTTTTATTTATTTGTATTAGAAATCTGATATATGTGCTTAAAGTAAATAATTAAAAACTATTGAAACTGCGATTTTTGCAACCTTTTCAGAACTGGATTTTGCTTTCTCACAAAGTATTTTAATGCAAATATTTATCTTCTGAAGACTGTCAGGATTAATGGTAAAGCCTTCTTTCAGCTTTCTGATCTTAAATGGATGTATTTTGTGACCCCTCCTTATTTCTCTGAAAGGGCTCTCTTGCAGTCAGTGCACATACTTCAGACTTCGTTTATGTTATTAATGAACTTTAATATTTCATCATTTCTTCAGTGTTTTTCCATCATATCAGGTATCTTTTGTGTACATTATACGATACATAGACTTTTCTGCATACTGAACAGGTGTCAATTCTAATACCAACACTGATAATTTTATAATGATTGGTTTAGAACACTGTTCTGAGAATTATGTATATCTTTTTAGCAAAAAGTAGGTGCGAGTGGGGTTGTATAGATTTAGACCTTTGATTTATTCCTTCATACATGAAGATAATCTAGTTTTTCTGAAGTGACCTGAAACAGCTTAGGATTTTCTTTATTTATCCTGACCCTTCTCTGCCAAAACAGAATTAATCATTCCTTTACCATTGCTACTATAGCCCTTAGCTTAGTTATAGCACTTACTTCTTTGTTGTTAATCATTTACTTGTCTGGCTTTACTGTGCATTGTGAACCTAAAGAAAAGAGTAATATTTTTTTTATCTGTATATCCTGAACACTCAAACTTGTGCTTGGCACATGTCTCTTGTCTTCAGAAAATGAGATGGTCTGTTACTTTATTAATAACAGATATTTCACGTATCTTATGTCAACAGTGAGATATTTACTAAACATTATGATCGAAGATGACGTGATTAAATTTAAGTCCTAGCGTGATGGTGAATGAAAAGAGTTGAAGACTTTGGATAAGAGTAGACATCAGTGCTTTTTGAAGTGCCAAAGGACTTAGGGTTTGGGTGTTCATGTCTGAGAGAATGGTGGTACAATTAGAACAGTACTTGAATCCTATAGATTTGGGTGAAATGGATTTGCTTTTGGAGATTTAGTGGATTTTGATTGAAAATGATTATTCAGTGTAAATGGAGGACTAAAGGTAAGGATTTGGTAGTTGGGCTAGTTGGATAACTTCCTCTTTATATGCTCCATACCACCCTACTTTATTATAATTGCTTATTCAGTGTCCATATTTCTCTTTAGACTCTAAGGTCCATCAGAGCAGAGGATATGCTATGTTCAGAGCTGTATCCTCTGTGTTATGTTGGCACATGGTAGCTTCTTTGTAAAAAAATAATGTTCAGTGGATTACTGACTTAAATTGCATCCTGCATTATCTTTAATTTATATTGCTAACTTGAGTTACTAGCTTTAAAATTATTCTTATAATTGCTTTTCATAGGTTCATTGGAATTTTAAACTTGAAATTGTAGAAATTTTTAGGATATCCCCCACTGGACCTTGAAAAGGAGAAGTCACCTGCCCACAGTCTCTGGATCACATTCCAGATGTAGCTGTATCTAGTATTCACTGAAACTGTTTACATCACTAGAGATACATATTACATATACTCGCTTTGTGTGTGTGTGTGTGTGTGTGTGCGCGTGTATGCATATCTTCCAGACTTATGAAGAAGACAGTGAAATGAGGTCTTGGATGGACTGTGGCTTTCTATCCCTCTTTTTTTGTCATTTCTTTCTTTAGTTTTTGACCAGTGATCATGGAAAGGAGATTAAATTTTATTCCTAGCAATGTTAGGTTTTTGGGGTTTCTATTGATTAACACACGAAGTTATGGATAAGTTATTGATTTTGTTTTCTTTTTCCTTGTCCACATTAGCTTGGTTAATCATTGGTTCTAGGTTTGCTATTATTTGATAGTACAAGTATTAGTTATAAATACACTGTTATGAGTAATTGGACTTTGTCTTGGCAATACTTTCTGTGAAGCAAAGTTTGGAAAAGGTGCATCTCCTGAGACCATAATCAGAGGTTATAATTTAAAAATTCACTGAGTTTCCTTTTTTATGGTGTAGACATTGGGTATCAAAATAAATTAAGCTTTCAGTATTTATAACTTTTCAAACAGGAGTAGTATATTTTTGTTCAGAACAAATACTTCCCTTAACTTGAATTAAATTAATAAACACATTCTTCTTTATCTTTTTGGTTTCAGTATCAAGATAAAGAAGAAGTTGTCTTATGGATGAATACTGTTGGGCCCTATCATAATCGCCAAGAGACATATAAATACTTTTCACTTCCATTCTGTGTGGGGTCAAAAAAAAGTATCAGTCATTACCATGAAACTCTGGGAGAAGCACTTCAAGGAGTTGAATTGGAGTTTAGTGGCCTAGATATTAAATTCAAAGGTAAGTAACCCCTAATAGTTCTTATAATAAAAATTAGATTGTATATCAGCATTTCTCAATGTTGGCACTATTGACATTGGGGTCAGATACTTCTGTTTTGTACCCCCAAAGTATTGATTAGATATGCTAGTAAGGGAGCTGCTAAATTAAGTGGTCTAGGTGAAATAGTAAATGCTGATTAGAGTTCTCTTTCTACTGTAGCCGCTTGCTTTCCTGTTCAAGGTTAAAGTTGTTCAAGCTTTGAAAAGTGTTTTATGAGGCTTCCTGGTTGTTATTTATAGTATCGTAGAATTTTAAAGCTGAATGTACTGTGGAGATTGTCATCTGATTTCCTCTTAGCGAGGCTCAGAAATGAAATGATTTGTCCAAGGTATATCACAGCATACTGCTAATATTATGGAAGCTCAAACCTTTTCTATGTGAACTGTGGCAATTCTTATATTGATAATCTTTCTTCTCTTAAGTATTTGATTTTTAAAATTTTTCTAAAGGAATATCCAAATAAGAAAATAAAATTTTGGAAATATTGTAAAAACAAAAAAAACTATTTATGTAAACACAACACTACACACACACACACACACACACACACACACACACCCCTTTTATTTTAACCTGGTAGATTTTGTGAGCTAAATGGATTGATATTGTTTCATAAAATGAAAGTCACTAAGTAGACATTTGAAGGAACTTAAGATTATATCAGGATAGTCTTAGGTCTAATGTGGGATGTGTCTTAAAATTTAATGCATTTTTTTTTCTTAATAGTCTTATGTACTGCTAGTAGATAAAATGCTAAACTGACACCACAGAGAGGAAATTAAAAAGAGAGGGGTATTTGAGTATTTCTCACTAGGCCTGCATTGAGTATCTATTCCATATGCAAGGTTCTAAGAGTTACCTTGTAAAATTGTAGAATGTTCTAAAATTATAGATAATGGACCCTACAATCTTAGAGGGTGCCTCTTGGACCCTTGCCATAGTGGAGTGGAAAAACATGTACTTTGGTGTCAGAAAAAGACTTCATGCACCCCACCTCCTGTGTAGTTGTGGGAAAATTGATCACCTGTTTTGATCTAATTTTATTGACCTATGAATTGAGGCAAATAAAATCCAGTTGATGGAACTGTTGTCACGGTTAAATGAAATAATGTTGAGCATTTGTCAAAATACCTGCTACATAGTTTACACTCAATAAATGGTCATTATTATGAATACTGATTGCACATAATATAGGTCTATAGTTCCAACATGATTTTGCATTAGAAATTAAGGAATGATAAATTATTTTATTGATTATAGGATTTGATTTACCTCAAGGTGCTGCACTAGCCCCTAGGTGATTTGGTTAGTTCTGTTAACAATCCTGTTGAACAACTATAAACTGTGTGTTGTGTGGAGGAGAGTACTTAGGCATCTGACCTACCTATATTTTTTATACAATTCCATCATGTGTTCAGCCCTACATTTTTTCCATGACATCTGTGTTGCTTCTAAGTTCTGAGTGTCCCTTGTGTTCTGTGACACCATTCTCTTTCCTTCTTGTAGGTATTGCTTCTCTGTTATGCTTTCTCTTGCTTTACTGGTAGTCTTTGCCATCTTCCATTTGTTTTCCACTTTTCAAAATTAGCTCATCTCTTTTCTCCTCCGTCTTTTTTCTTTTTTTGTGCATGCATCATTCTTTGCTGACATTTGAAAGATATGTTTGACTGTGCTAGTATGCCTTGTTTAATTGGAAATCTGGGAACTTGATATTACCTTGGTTTTTATTGTCCTGTTGGTTTCAACTAAAGTATCTTAGCCAGGCCAAATAACTTGAATCTTGTGTTGAATCTTGAGTCTTGGTATTTTGAATTTTTGATTTTTGCACTTCCTTAAATCTTGTGCTAATTGCAAATTTCATAAGCATGGGCTTTTTATAAATTCTTATTTAAACCAATGACAAAATTATTCTCCCCCAGGTGGATATCTTTTTTTGTTTTCAGAAATATATTCTATATTTCTGATTTTTACAGACATATCATTTTATATCATTTGTATATTAGTTTCTAATATATAAATTTTAAACACTACAGATAAATAATAAAGATGCTAAGAATCAACTAGATGTAATTACCATTAACTTGTTCTTCTTTCTTTATAGTCACTCATATTATTTAAAATGTTTAAAAATTGGGTTCATGTTATCTATATGATTTTTAAAACTTATTTAACACTTATATAATGTTTACTACATGCCAGATACTGTTCTGAGCACTTAGTAACTGAACAAGTTATGTATGATTAGTTCCTACTCCTCTTTTAATATCTTATGAGCTTGTCTTCTATTGTTATTCTTTTAAAAATGTGTTTATACATAAGCCAGAAAGAAAAAGAAAAATACCGGATGGTCTCACTCATAGCAGAAGTTTAGAAAACCTAAATAAGGGACCAGGAAAAAGAATAACTATAATAAAGAGAAAAATCAAAATCAACATGCAACTATAAACCAGAGACACACTGCGGGGGGCGGGGAGGAGGGATTGGGGTCAAAATAAGGGGGGTGCAATTGTATGGAGAATATAACCAAAATGAAAATGCATACCTTGTGCAAAAATGAAAATGATATAAGAAATATATTAAAAAAATAAAAATATGTTTATACAGTCAGTAGTCTATAATTTGGGTATTGTAATTTCCCTCAATTACAAGATGGTCATTGTTTTCCTTCCTTGCTTTTCTTGGTGTGGTTTTTGCTATAGAAATAACTGTATTTTGCTATCCTACCACATAGGTATTTTACTAGGGTTAATTCTAGAAGTTCAATTACTGAATCAAAGGGTATAAACTTTTTTTAAAAGAGATTTATTTATGTATACAAGAGCTGGGGTACAGGCCAGAGATGTGGGGGGTGGTGAGAGGATTCACCAGAGACAGTGGGGAACAGAACAGGCAGACTGAAATACACTGCTGAGGGGAGCAGCGGGCGAGACAGGAGAGGTCTGCCTCACCATGTGGGTTGCTCCCTGGCTGGCTGGGGATCGAACTTGTGCTGCCGAGGCTGCGGATTGCTTCATAGTGCGGTGCTTAACCCCTTGCGCCACCAGGGAGGCCCATGGATATAAACATTTTTAAGGCAGTTTTTGATACATGTTGCCAAATAGCCATCTGGAAAAAATTGTATAGTTTACACTGCCTGTCAAGTTGGACACTTAATCTATATATATATAATAAATTACATACATGATTGAAAGCTAAATTTACCGTTTTTCCCATTCCATTAATTTTTTTTTATTATTATTTAGCAGTTTTTGAGTAGATATTGTATTCCGGCACTATGGTGCACTCTGGCTACCAAAGTTGAACCATAAGCTCTGACTTCAGGGCTTCATGGACCCTCTCAAGTTGTACTCTTAATTTTGAGTCAGTGTGCATGGAGGTAAAGAAGATATCATTTTCATTGGAATCCCAAATGGGTGTGTGGCTCCAAGGAACTTGACACTGTGAATATATTGGCACTGTAATCTTTATATCACCTCTGGGAAGTAGAGAATATAGATTTTATTGTTTTACTGTTGAGGGAACCGAGGTTCACAGAGGCTACGTGGCTTGATTTCATTCACATGGCTAGTAAGTAGTGGAAACCATACTAAAACTCAAATTTACATCCATCCTCTGCAAATTAGTCTGTTGTGACTTCCTGAGAAACCTTGCCAAGTGCTGCTGAACTTGAGATAGACTATTTGTGATTTCCTAATTTAGTTATGTTATCAGAAGAGAAAGTAAAGTGTGATATTCTCAGAGAAGAACATGAATAATTAATAGTTACTACTTTCTTTCTTCCCAGTGTTTTCACCACTATTCAATTATTACTCTGGAATGTTATTGGGGATTAGTGATAGAGTTATTGGTGTGTAATTTCCAGTCATTATTAACATTTGCTTCTTTATAATTTTCCTAAGCCCTCCCTACCTCCATGAAAAATATTTTACTTCGGTCAATCTAAGTTACATCCTCTTCAGAATTCATGTTTAATTTTTTTAAAAAAAAGATCTATATCTATTGATGTGTATAAGAACTGACAGGAGGTGTGGGGGATGAGAGGATTCACCAGAGACAGAGTGGGGAGCCGAACAGGCAGATCCACTTAAATACACTGCTGAGGGGAGCAGTGGGAAAGACTGGAGATAGCTTGATAGAACTGAGACATTAACCCCTGCACCACCAGGGACGACCTGTATTTAATCTTAAGAAAGATATACCCTACTGTAATTTTAAAGCAGTGATTTATGGTGATAGATTTTTCTAGTTACAGAGAATGTTGACTCAATGATTTGTCATATTTAGAAATAATTACATTTGTTATTTTCAAAGTGGCTCCCTCCTGAGAGAGGTGCTATTTCAGTTAAGCAATCAGGCTCTTCAGTTGTTTATGGTGTTTGTATTTATCTGCCTAACTTCAAGAAGAATTCATTAAGAGTTTACTAACCGGGCCCTTTTTACAGTCCATGGAAATGATAAATTTTTTCTTCTTATCACATTTCTAGATTTTACATTGTGAAAGATCCTCTTTAAGGCCTCTTTTTCAATCCTGAAATGCTCTGCTCAAAATTTCATTTGTTTATACTGATATTCTTAGACATACACCATTCACACACAGATGTATGACCAGTCATGTGTTCCTATTGAAGGGGATATGTTCTGAGAAATGCATCATTAAACGATTTTGTCATTGTGCTGATGTCAGAATGTAAATTACACAAACCTAAATGGTGTATATATAGTATATTATACACCTAGGTTACATGGTATAACATTGGGATCACCACTATATATGCAGTTTGTCATTGCCAAAAAGTCCTTAAGCAACTTGTGACTAGTATATGGGCAATTCTAATTTGCCTGTTGATTTCTTTTGCCCTATAAATGGAAAACCATGCTCGTAAAATTTGTTAGAATTTTTTGTTTGTTTAGTTTTTGCTATATACAGGTAAAAAGGATATAATCAGTTTTGGGCATACTTCTAAGTCCTGATGGTCTTTTTGCAGAGCTAAGATCAGTAGCTTAGTACAGGGTTTTAAGTAGTACGGATCTGTAGACCATAACAGAGGTGTGGAGAGAAAGGGTGGATTGTGGTACTTGAGAGATCTTAGGGGATCTTAGAGATCTTAGGGGATCTCCAGAATTGGGGATTACTCTGTTGAGGAGAGCAGGGGGATTGGGGCAATACTAGGATGGACCTCAATATAAGCAAAAACAAAATCTATAGATTGCAAGCTCAAGGTGAATGGGAACCTTTTTAGGTGGTGGAGTTTGGCTAGAGTGTAGGGGAGAGGATGATGTTTTTGGAAAGAGAAGATTGAACTAAAGTTCAGACTGGGAGGAATCTTTTAAAAGCTCTTTGCAGGTAAATGTCATGTTGTATATCAGAATGTCATGCATTAGATTGCTGTTATGTTAATAACAGTTACTGTGAATGTTTGATTGTAACAGCAAGGAGTTAGTGATTTTGCAGAAGAGGTAATCGTGAGGTCTCCCTCCTACAGTCACTGCAGTTTGAGTTGCTGCTCAAACGTAGGCCTTCCTTTGGTTCTCACTTCCCCTCTGTAGGGGTGATTGCCTGCTGCCCATTGTTCACTATCAAACTCCATGGAACTCCCATTTGGGGACCTCTTAGTTCTCCTAGCTGCTACTGTAGGAACCCTTTATAGCAACCTCATGTTCTTACTCTCCCTCCCTTTTCTGCTCAACCTATTTTTCTCATGAAAATCCTAAATTCTTTGCTGCCTAAAAAGGCCTGAGTAGAAAGAAAATCTGTGTGGGAGTCATTGTTGGAGACAAAGCAGTTTTCCTATTTTGAGTGTGCAAGTATTTCCCTGACTTCAAAGTTTTGGAGTCCCTACTGTGGGCTAAGCGATATAATGAAAGGAAGCTGTTCTTTCTGTTGAGCACTGGGGTGATGTGTTGCTGGTGCCTGGGGTTATAACTCTTGTAGAAATTTTTTTTTAAAGATTTATTTATTTATTTATTTATTTATTTATTTATTCATACATACAAGCACTGGGTAAGTCAGAAGCGCGGGAGGGTGAGAGAATTCACCAGAGCCAGAGCGGGGAACAGAACAGACAGACTGACAAAATACACTGCTGAGGAGAGCAGCGGGCGCAGCAGGAGAGGTCTGCGCGCCATGTGGGGCCCTTGCCGGCAGCCGGGGATTGAACTGGCACTGCGGAGGCTGGCAGCCTCGCAGCCTAGCGCTCAACCGCTGCGCCACCAGGGGAGGCCTTCTTGTAGAAATGTTTTTATAGATGGTTATTAATAATGGTTCAGCTACAATTTATATTTAAGAAGTTTCAAGCAACATTTAAGAAATTTAAGTTGTCTTTTGGGGAAAATTAGCACTTCAAGTTTCTAAATAATCAATATAGGACAGGAGAACTTAAAATAACTACTTTTGATTTTTTGTTCAGATTTATTTTTCCTAATTGTTTAATATACAAAATAATTTAATCCTTTTTTGGACATCCAGAGTATTGGCAGGTTTTCGGATTATGTTTTGTTAAGAAACCATAAGCACATTTGTGAAAACATAGTTTTGAAAGGCTTGTAAGTTAGAGATCATCTGAATAGTATTTGGTAATAATATTTTTGAAAGCAGTCAGGAATAAAAATGGCTCATCTCTAGGGGACTTCTGAGCAATTTATGAACAGTAACGCCAGCCAGGTAGAGGTTTGCCTTTTAATTTTCCTAATTATGAAGAGCCGGTGGAATTCCTCATAGACTCTGTAGCCTCTTGTGGCTTGTATTTCCAAGATTGTTTGATATCTTACAACTTGAAATTCTTCTTTTTAGGATCCTATTTTTGAGGTTTTTGTATGTGTTCAATAAAAACTTTGTGTGCTCAGCTTCTAATTTTTGTCTTTAAAACCAATTTATTTTAAAGATACTTTGTAAATTCATGTATAATTTTTTTATAAAGCATTGTTCACTTAGTCAGATAATCTTTGAAAATAAAGATTAAAATCCTTTCAAACCTAAACCAAAAAGGAATTCCAGCCCACGTTTATTTATCTCTCAGACTGAACTGCTATGAATAGAAATTTTAACTTCAGGAAATCTTGGTTTTTTTTTCTTGAGTTGTTTTCTCACTAATTTCTCATTTTCATATCATGCAGATGATGTGATGCCAGCTACTTACTGTGAAGTTGACTTAGATAAAGAAAAGAGAGATGCATTTGTATATGCTATAAAAAATCACTACTGGTACCAGATGTACATAGATGACTTACCAATATGGGGTACGTATTCTGTTACATTTAAAAGGATTCTATAAAGGTTCTATAAAGATTCTATTCAGCATTCTATATACTGAATCTGTAAATGCATTTTCACAGAATGCCTTTAATAACAATTTTAAGATCCCCTATTTGAAGGATTTTTGACATTGGCAGACATGTCACATTTTCTCCAAATACAACTTTTATACAATATAACTTTTCAGATTCAAGAAACTAGAAGGTGCCTTGACCAATCCAAAATACCCCCTGCCCCTTTCCCATGTTTTCTTTTTGTTGTTGTTTTAGATTTTATTTATTTATACAAGAACTGAGGTACAGGTCAGAGGTGCGGGAGGGTGAGAGAATTCACCAGAGACAGAGCATGGAGCAGAACAGGCAGACGGACCAAAGACACTGCTGAGGGGAGCAGCGGGCGAGGCAGGAGAGGCCTGCTGCGCCATGTGGGTTTCTCCCTGGCATGTTTTCTTTTGATTTATTTTTATTAAATAAAACCAAAGAAGCTAAGTAGGATTTTGAAGCTTATTTTTGATTCTCTTGTGGAACTGCTAGTATGGTTTTTAGATATTGAAAGTATCCTAAATAACTTGTAGCTCCTATGTTATTTTCCAGAACTCTGTATGTTTAAAACTTTGTTTTGTTTTCGGTCTATTGCTTGTCTGTATTGATGGAGAAAAAGGTATAGCACAGTTAATACAAACTTGTGCATAATTAAAAAAAATCATTTGCGTTGGACTTGATTACATTATTCAAAATGCAGGGCATAGCCAAACAGCTATCATAGCCAACATATTTGATCACATTTTTCTCTTAGTGTTTTTTTTTTTTTTGGGGGGGGGGTCTTTTGATGCCTGTTCTTATTTATGATAAAGATTCTAATTCTTCAAATTAACAGTCTGCTATATTCATGAGCAGCAAAATGATAAAGTGAGCATATCTGATCTGTTTAATTTGGTACTGTCATGAAATTTGTAAGTAAAATAATCTCAAGATGTAATTGTATGCATTCATCATTACCATTTGGGATATTAGTTATATATGACCAGTAAGCATTTTATATAAGGCCTGAGTTAGTACTACATTTATACAGATGTTTCTGTCATCAGCTCTGAGAATAGTAGGAAGTGCTGAATATTCACTAAAGATTTCTGATCCTGTGATTCAGGAGAACCCACTGGCTTTCCTCTTTTTTTGAATGAGAGAACAGATTTCTCCCCTATTCTTTTCATTGCTTACAGGTTTCATGTCTGAACCTTAGGGGTTTTTTTCTGTGGGCTTCCTCGGTAACATGGCAACTGTGCTTGCCTATTTTAAGAGAAAGTATTTTGAACCCTGGGATTCCAGAGCCTGTCAGATTTAAGGGAGATATTTTGGAGTATCTCTCTTGGGTGCCTTGAGGTATAAAGAAGAGGCAATTAAGTTTTAGTACCCATATGTACATATGTGGAGAATGGATAGTAGGAATGGGTAGATCATAGGTTATCAGAGAAAGTGATGAACTGAGCCTCTGGAGACCTTGATTTTAATTTTCAGTTTGATCACTACAAACTAGGAAACTTTGCCAGATGGTGATGTATCACTTCTCTGAAATTTTGAGCTAGTAAGGAAAAAATACATGCAAGGTGATATTTATTATAAAGGAAGGTGATGCTAATGACAGAGCATGAACTTTGAAAATCAAATTATTGGTAGGTTTTGCTGAGCTAACTTTTTCACTACTCCCTGACCAAAGTTTGTGTTTGCCAAGTAGTTAACAAAGGGTAGAAATCCAGTCTGCATATTTACCTTGTTCTAACCATAAGGAATAATAGTAGTAGTGCTTTTTCATAAAACTATTTTTATGAGCTTTTACCATCTAAAGTATTTGAAGATTAAGTAATATTACCTTGTGAAAAGTGTTCTTTCTTTTGTAGGTATTGTTGGTGAAGCAGATGAAAATGGAGAAGATTACTATCTGTGGACCTACAAAAAACTTGAAATAGGTTTTAATGGAAATCGAATTGTTGATGTTAATCTAACTAGTGAAGGGAAGGTGAAACTGGTTCCCAATACTAAAATCCAAATGTCATATTCAGTAAGTACTAAAATAATAATACATAGGAAGAATTGTTTGTCACCTAATATCGACAGTTAAGTGTGATTTAGAACTTTAATAGATGGCTATGTAGCTTGAAGTGGGATGCAACAGAATGTTATTAAAACTGTATTTCCTCAGTGTATGTAAATGAGTTTCCTGAGAACAGGGAGATTTACTTCAGTTCTGTAGTATTAGATCACTTTATGCATTTGCAGGAGCTACCATTTGCTGCAGCAAAGTTTACCATTATAAGTAGGTAGTTAACTGAACTATGTATTTTCATGGTTATGTTTTTAGATCACATTATTCTTGATGAATGATCACATTCATCAAGTTGGAGTATGCAAATCAGCAGTAGTTAATAGTACTTGAGAACTGAAATGATTCCTCTAAGTAAAGTTGTAAGTTTTGTAAATACAGAGGAAAGTTGGTTAACTGTTTATCATACATGTTTCAGCTTCTCAAATAACAGCAAGTTTCCACTATTTTGCTAGTTTCTTATTCCACGTGTGTAAATCTTTACAAATAGTGCTCAGTTTTGTTATAGATTATTAATTTGTTTGCTCATCGTGATTTTCAAATGAAAAAATTTTTCTTTAGGTAAAATGGAAAAGGTCAGATGTAAAATTTGAAGATCGATTTGACAAATATCTTGATCCATCCTTTTTTCAACACAGGGTAGGTAAATTGTGTATTTTAATCTCTCAGTGTGTCTTCAGCAAAAGTTAATGAGCACCTGCCATATGTAGGGCATTGTGCTAGAGCTGTGTAGCCCAAAGATTTAACTAATGGTGATTTTGGGTGTGAGCTCAGAGTCATAAGGTGAGAGAGAGTTTTAAAGAAGCAGTCAAAAGCTCCCATCATTTTGCCTGTGGTTTAAACCAAGTAAGAATACACATGGAAGCAAATAATATTCGGGACATCAAAATAGCACTTTTATTACTAAAGTGACTAAAATTGGAAACAGCGACTTAGGTCTGTGATCATACGGGCTTAATGTTGAAATTCAGAATTAAATGTACTTAATATAGTCAGTGCTGCAATATTACAAGTTTTCTTTTTTCTGGTTAATAGTTAAAAAATTTTATTTTGACAAAAGTTCAGATAGAAAAGTTGCAAAAATAGTAGCCCCTAATTCAGGGAATTTCTGAATTCCCTTCACCCAAATTTCCCAGATATTGACATTTTATTACATTTTCTTTATCCCTCCTCAGCTTTCTCATTTAAGAGTAATTGCTGACATGGTATCCTTTCCCCTAAGAGCTTAGTTGAGTATTCCTACTTATAAACATTCTCTAATAGAAATTCTTTACAGTGATCAAAATCAGAAAATTAATATTGATAATACTGTTAAAATCTATAGATTTTATTTAGAGTCTACCAGTTGCCCCATTAGTATTCTTTATAGCTAAAAGAAATAACTGAATGTGTATTGCGTTTGGTCATGTCTCTTTATTCTCCTTTTATCTGGGATAGTGAATAGTGCCTTAGTCTGTATTTCATGACATTGATATTTTTTTTTGTATTTTTGAATATCTTAATTTTTTAATGAGGTAACATTAGTTTACATCTTTGTGTTTTAAAAGTATAGGATTTCTCCCCCCCAGCTGTCAGTGCACACCACACCTACTACCAAAATACTCATAATCTACCACCATAGTCTATAGTGTTTGCTCCCCACTTCCCACTCCTACTTTTGTTCTTGTCTTTCCTCTTTCCTGCTCCCTCTTCCTCTGGGAGCCTCAGTTCTATAGTCAGGGTTAAAATTCTGTAGTCTCGGGTTAGCTCTTAATTTAGCTTTCTAAGTGACACCATCTGGTATTTGTCTTTTTTTTTTTTTCCCTTCTGGCTTATTTCGTTTAGCACATCCCCCTCCAGCTCCATCTATGTGGCCAAAATGGCAAGAGTTTGGTAGCAGAGTAGGATGCTATTGTGAGGTGAGGTTGTGGAGAAAAAAAAAAACATTCTTACACTGTTGGTGGGAATGTACAGTGATCTAGTCCTTATGGAAAACGGTATGGAGATTTCTCAAAAGATTAAAAATGGATCTGCCATAGAGCCCAGCAGTTCCACCACTGGGTATCTACATAAAGAATACAAAAATACTAATTCAAAGGGAAACAGGCATTCCATGTTCATTGCAACACTATTTACAGTAGCCATGCTTATTGTAAGTTTTCTTACATGGACATCTGTCTAACAAGTGTGGAGAAATAGAAGAATGTTATGTGAGGAAGAATTGTTCTGTGATGGAATGGGAGAGTGGAGGGACATCAATCAGGTTTTGCTAGAGGAAATCCTTCCACATAAAAACATCAAAAATAGGAAGAAATGCAATCCACCAAATATAAGCTGGATTTCAGATCTGTAGTCCATTTGATTGTAAAGGTCTTATACAGGTAACTTTCATTTTTTAATGCAAAAAAAAAAATTTTTATTTTGATGGGTCCCTTCTTCAAGGATGGAGATGAAAAGACAACAGGTCATCCATTCTTCTGACTTTCTTCCCGACTTGCCTCTTTTATAATTTGGAATGGAATTCTGAAATTTATTTATCACCTATTTTTGAGATGGTTCATAGTTTTTGTAATCTCAGATCTGAATCTACCACTACTTCTTATCTCCCCTAGGGCCTAGGATAAAAAAAAAAAGAGATATTTGGAATGTACTCCTTATTGAAAGACTTAATGTATTACTCCTGGAGCTAAAAGCCTGCCTTCATCTCCCTCCATGTGTTCTCAACAGTTACAGTGCTTGGGCAGTTCTGAATAAGGTGTTGGTGGTCCAGTTAAAGGTATAGGCACAAAAATAACTTCAACATTTGGGCAATTTTGACATTCCCTACTGGAGTACCATGTTCTGCCTTGTTTCTAGTTCCAAGAGGAAAAGGCTGCTTTTTGACATTTTCACTAGTAATCAGTGTATTTATTTTTTTAATCAATATTGAGCACCTGCTATGTGTCAAACACTGTACTGAATGAAATATACTAGGAAGTAAATGCCAAATATCCATGCCCTCTGGGAGCACATATTCTCATGGGGACATGTACAATAACATAATAGGTGAAGTGTATAGTGTATTCAAAGGTATGTGCATTAAAAAAGAAAAGGTTAGCTGTGGGACAAGAATGCCATGGATGAGGTAAAATGTAGTTTTGAAGATGGTGGCCAGGTAAGCCTCTGATAGGGACTTCTGAGCAAAATCTTGAAGGAATTTGGAAATAAGGGATGTGGGGATCTGGGGGAAAGATTATTCCAGGCAGAGGCAACACCATTGCAAAGCCTGTTAGGTGGGAACATGCTTGGTGTGTTTGAGGAAAGAATAGTAAGGAGGCCAATGTGACTGGAGCAGAGTGGGAGGATGAGTAGTAGGAGATGAAGTCAGAGGTAACAGGAACCTAGATCATCCATGACTGCTGTCAGGACTTCAAATGCAGAGAGGGGAATGGTAGTGTTTTCAGCAGGGAAATGACAGCTCTACTTAGTTTAAAAGGGATTGCTCAGATTACTATGTTGAGAATAAATTGTATGGAGCTAAAGAGAAAAGCATGAAGACCAATGAAGAGCTATTGCAACAGTTTAGATGAGAGGCAAATTGGGGCTTAAGCAAAGATATAGCAGTGTAGGTGGTGAGAAGATGTTAGAGTCTCCAGGGTTTCCTGATGGATAGGAGGATAAAGGCAGAGAAGAACTCTATGTAGTTTTGCCCTGAGCATCTACTGGAGTGAAGCTTCCGTCACTGGGGCAGAAAGGCTGTATTTGGAGACTTGGAGAGAAAGATCAGAGATATAAAAAAAACATGTTTGTATATTGATAGGGGTCAGTAGTGCAAAGCTGATGATGTAAGAGAAAGGGAGAGAATTATTGCAGCATTTTCCTTAAGTAGGCAGGAGGGGATGGGATCTATTGTGTTTTAAGTGTAGGAATTTTTCCTTATGAAGTGACTACACAGGCTTAGGTGCTCAAGTTGAATATAAACGCTTTGCCACTTACTATAAATATAAACTTGGTCAAATTACTCAGTTTTTTTAGCTTGCTCATTCCTAATAATGGTGCGGGGATTATACCTTGAAGAGTTGTGATGAAATTCCATTTGGAAATAAATATAAAGCACCTAGTTTACTATTCGGCACATAACAAGTGCTCATAAGAGACAGCACTGGTAATATAGTTGTTGCAAATGTTCTAAAATTTATGTCAAACTGAGGATACTGCTTAGAATTAGCAACACTAGGGGGTGCTGTAGTCAGCAGGTGCAGGGTTAGTAATGCCTTAGTGACATCTGATTCTTTTAAGAAATATTTCCCTTGCTGTAATTTTGAATCATGCAGCATTTCATACTTTTTTTGGGGAAAAATCTTATAAAGTATCAGGTTATTAGTGCTACTTTAAAATAGGTTTTGGGTTTGAACGTGTGTATTTTAGATTAGAAAATAGCAAAGAGCTTTATAGAGACTTTACCATTTTAGGTGTGTTCTTATTACTAAAGGCAACAATGTAAAACTTTCTAATTTCTAATAACTATAAAACTTTCTCTAAGAATTTGATACATTGACTGAAACAGATGAATCACATATATGATTTTTTTCTGTGATCCTTTTCTAGGTTATTAATTTCTCAGAGTAGGAACAAAATTAAATCTTTGGAAGAGCCTCTAGTTTTAGACTGCCCTTTTAAATCTTGAATGATCCTTTTATGATAAATTTGTTGCCTTTCCTTGTAAATATTTAAAAAGTATTTGCACTGTTTCCTTTATAATTTCAGTAGCTGTTTAATAAATAAATTGTTGGAAGGAACAAATGATCTTATGATGAAGCAGAGACAGTTGACTGTCTCCTGTTTTTCGGGAGTGTTTATCACTTGCCTGAAACCTCAGGATGGGTGACAGATCTGGGCCTGACGTTCACTCTAGTACATGTACACATGTCAGCCCAATTAAAAAATCTGCCCTAATTATATAAGACAGTCTATAGTAGGTGTTCTATGTATGTACCTACAGAAGTTTAGAGCAGGAATATAGCTATAAATATCTAGAATATGGAGATGAGAAGTTTTGGGAGGAAGAGGTTTTTAAGTTGGTCTTTAAAGTATAGGCAGAATTTATAGTGGTGGAGAGAATCTGTGTTAGAAGGAATTATGAGCAGGATGTAAGATAGAAGTAAGTATGCTGTGCTCATGTATCACTGAGGAAAGCTCTGTCTGATTGGTATATAGGATACAATGGAAAGAGCTCAGCTGGATAGTGATATATAAGGTGAGGTGGCTATATTACATGGATCACAGAATATTAGGGAAAATAGTTTAGAGCTGATATGAGAGAAAATAGGGGGGTGTTCTGTACATTTTAGAATAGAGAAGTGAAAAATGAACATGATGTTTCAGAAAGATTTGCTGGGTAACTCTTTACAGGATCATTTGAAAGAAGGGGAGAGATCAAAGATTAAAAAAAATCAACTAGAAGGTGCTGTCAGTGTGTGAGGTGGTGATGGTGAGGCACTGGAGGAAAGGAGTGGACAAGAGATATTTTGAAAGAAAATAAAAGCTTAATAGTAATTACCTAGGAAGGATTAAGAAGAAGGAAGAGCCAGAGATCCTAAAATTTCAAAGGTACAGGTTAGTACCATTAACAGAATTTAGAAATTAGAGGTAAGTGTTAATATATGAGATCATGAGTTTGAGGACAGTCTAAGTCTGAAATTCCAGAAAGACATTCAAGTGGAAAAGATTGTAGTTAGTAAAAGTCTGAAATGTGAATGAGAAAGAGGGCTGGAGATTTGGGGTGGACTGAGGATAGGAAGCAGAGGGTGTTGCCATCATCATTGGAATGCTAGTAAAAAGTTCGGAGAGCCTGAAGAATTCACAACAGAGGTCCAAGGCTGGGGCTTTTGGAAAAGTTCAGAAAGGGTGGGAGGAGCAGCGTCAGTAAAGTAGGGTGGTACAGTGTTAGGAAAGGTCAAATGTGACGGGAGAGCTAGGAAATGGGGCAGATCATTTACTGCTGAATATAGAGCAGGCCTTTGAAAGAAATCTTTTGGAGCAAAGTGAGATCACTTTGTGTTTAGTAGTAAGTGAGGGAAGAAGAACATATAGTCTCTTCATTTGAAAAGTATCAGCATTGAAAGGAGAAAGGTAAGAAAAAGATTGGGAGAGTGAGGGAGCAAAAGATTTAAGCAAACACTTGAAAGATAGTAGTAATAATGATGCTGCTGTATGTTTCACATTTATTGTCTTGTTTCAACCGCAAACAACCCTACGGAGTAGGTACCATTTTTGGAGATTGTTGACACTGGAGAAAGGTGAAAGTTTAGGGCTACAAGCTGAGAGGGGCAAAATGCCTCAAGGAGTGAGTAAGTTAGAACCTAATGGAAAGATTGATTTAAGAGGAAAAACAACTTCTAGGAGTTTGAAAGGAGAAATGAAAGGTTTAGGGGATAAATGCAGAAAAATAACTGGAATTAGGACTTAAAGAGAATAGAAATTTTGGCACTATCTCTAAGACACTTTGGGGAATTAAAATAGAAAGGACTGTCAGACAGTGCTGTAGACCTAGTTCAAATCAGACTTACTGGATTCTGAGATGCATTGAGAGACATAGTACTACTTTGTAATTTGAACCAGAACCTGGATGGAATTTTGTGACAAATGTGTAGGTAAAATCAACCTCAAGAGTCTTGAGAACTTTGGGAAATTGTGTGGGCTATCTCATTATTCTCTGTACCCTGGGGAGTTAATTTGGAAAGGCAGGATAAAAATGATGACAGGATGGAGCAGATGAACCAGAGACAAGTGAAGCAGATCATTCAGGAAGCTACCCAAGTCCATGGCAGCCAACTATGATGGTTTAGTCTTGGTATTTTAAGAAGATTTTAGGTTGTTGCTCACTTAGACAGAAGGAAATTCACATTTACTGAGTATTGACTGCTGTGTGCTAGACATGGTGCCATACTTTTTACATACAGAATTAAACCTTGCCAGTCACTTACAAGAGCATACTACCACTTCCACTTTTGATTTAAAAAACTGAGGTCACATAACTAGAACTGACAGAGCCTGTGTTAAAACATAGGCCTGTTTAACTCCATGTTTTTTCTCTGTAATGATGAATGGCATAAGCTATGTGGCCAAAGTTTGTGGAAATGTATATAAACAGTATTGTGTTTTAATAAATCTGGAGCTTACTCTAAAGAAAGCCAATACTTTTGCAAAGTGAATACTCATCCCTGTTATTTTTGAGGTTTGGATTTTTACGTAAAAGATTTTAGACTTTTTTTTTTTTTTTTTTTTTTTGCGTTAATACCCCTTGTCATCATGAAGCCTGTGAATGATTTTGTGATTGATATTTCATGTTGGTAACATTTTCTATTATTTTAGATTCATTGGTTTTCAATCTTCAACTCCTTCATGATGGTGATATTCTTGGTGGGCTTAGTTTCAATGATTTTAATGAGAACTTTAAGGAAGGATTATGCACGATACAGTAAAGAAGAAGAAATGGATGACATGGTGAGCAGACATTTTGCACTGTATTTATGAAACCATTTAATTCAGTGTTGTTTTGAATGCTAGAATGTAGGTCCACAATTTCTTTTTCGAAATCCTTGAAATCAGATAAGTTTCAGAATTCAGAATTTTCAGGTTTTAGAAAGGTATAAAACCTCCCAGAGGGGTCTCTAATATTAAAGTATTTTCAGCAAAATATGTGGCTGTTCACCCTAAGTGCTAAATAAACATTGTAAATAATCTCTGGATAGGTCAAATTTTGCTACCAATAAAGATATGTCAAACTTAAAGAACAAACTTTTAAAGTTTTCACGACTGTTGAATTTAGCATTGTAGTGAGGGGGGTTGTGGACCGGTGTTGGTATCTTCTAATACTGCTAAATATTGCATAAAATTGAGAGTGGGTGGAAGGATTAATTTACATTTAGTTTAATAGGTGCAGAGGGGAGATTTGTTCTGTATTATATAGAACAATGTTCTATAAAAAGAGAAAAGAGAAAAAAATGTTCTATAGAATGGTAATGACTATATATATAGACTCTTATTAAATAAGTTTTGGAAAACAATTAAATTTTAATTTTAATATGCTGGTGTGTATTGTGAATATCAGGCTGGATAAAATATTTGGTGCTTGTCAAACATATTTGACTGAGATTTCCCCCATTTGATTATCCTGAATGACTGATATTTCTTTCTTTCCTTTTTCCTTAATATTAAATTTATTTTCTTACATTATTCATTTTTGTAAAGTATTTGAATTTTCCCCAACAGACGATATTTCTTAAACAACACTGCTTTAGATACTCGCTTACTCAGATTGAAAAGGAAAAATTGAATCCTGTTAAAAAACGCTATGGACAGTTAAATACTATTTAACTATCCAGTATTTCCCCCATGCTTTCTTAGATTCCAGACTATAAAGGACATATCTGCAATATTAGGATATCTGTCATTTTTGCTTTCTACTTGGCCTCAAGTCATAAATGAGCTATAATCATGATGTAAATGGCAAAAAAGTATCCTTAATAGAGTCTTTGTGCTGTTCTCCCAACATGATATTTCTTTTTATGCCTAGGTTTTTTTCTATTTTCATTTTTTGAGATTCCCTGAGCACAGCCAGGACCCACTCTCTGGAGCCTCATAAATTCCACAGTACTTTAACATTTTAAGTTACTAAGGCAGTGATTATTTTAAATTTGACATGTCTTTACTCAATATTTTGAATCCCTTTAAACAATTCTAAGTTTGGAGTGAAGAAATTTACAACTGTAATTGTAATTTTCTCTCTACATACATATGTATATAGGATAGAGACCTAGGAGATGAGTATGGATGGAAGCAGGTGCATGGAGATGTATTCAGACCGTCAAGTCACCCACTGATATTTTCCTCTCTCATTGGTTCTGGATGTCAGATATTTGCTGTGTCTCTCATTGTTATTATTGTTGCAATGATAGAAGACTTGTATACAGAGTAAGTGCTTGTGTTTAAATTAACCTTATTGCATTTTTGTTGTATTTGAATCATTTTATAGCTATTGGGGCCTTTTAAGACAGCTATAATTAAATATTTGCATATTTCATTTATCTTAGAATTTAAATAGCGTAAGTGTTACTGCACACAATAATGAGCATCAATCAGTAGCTATAAAGTGTATTTTTTTTGTTACATGCTAAAACTTACTAGCCTTACTGAATATTTTGGTGGGTTTTTTAAAGATTATGTTCCTCTAGAAATATGAGCAGAGGTAATATTCGATAAAGATGTGTTTGGCAAAGTGAATAGGCATTTTTTAAAAAATTGAATATCCAGTTAGATCTTCCTAAGATGCACAAGGATTTCATATTTACTGAATTATTTATTCACATTTACTTCTCAAACTGGGAGAACCTACAGACGGAAGAAACCTTTGTAAATATAGTAAAAAGAGTGGCAGAAAAGGTGCAGGAGGTTAGAAAAATAATTGACTTCTCATTCTATCTTTACATAATTTCTGGTATATGATTTTTTTCTTTGTCAACAAAACCATTTGCAAGAAATTCTTGATTTGAGGTTTTGGGATTATAAGAAAAAGTTGTAAATTCACAAAGATCTCAAGCCATTGAGTGGTCCTGTGACCTTGTTCTTGGAGAACTATGGATCCACGGAGCAAACATGTTCTCAGTGTGCATGGCAGAGCTTATAATCCAGGTACTCCCGCATGAAGTTCTCGGCCAGGATGCTATTTTTCTCCAGTTAAATTTCCTACCTATATTTCACTTCCTAATGTGTTTTCTTATGTATGTCTGGCATTTGGTGGACAAGCGGTAAATTGTTGCTGAAGCAATGGCTTTTTAGTTGTATATTAAATTTTTAACTATACTGGATTGCTGTTTCTTCCACTTTCTTTGAGAGCAGGGAATGGGTCTTAACTTACCTTTGAATTCTCAAAGTACCTGCTTAAAGTTTTGTGTATGGAATTTAGTCAGTGCTTGTTGAAGTGAAGTGGATATGTATTAACCAATTAAGTTATTTCTCTGTAAGTTTGTTTTATTAAATATAGCTTCATGATTTATCATATGAGCTTTAAAATAACTGACTAAAACCTAAACTTCAGTGTTTTAATGAGTACTTCATGTACTTGGGTAAATTTTATTTCAGGTACATTAGATCTCAAACGCAAAAAAGCACTCCAAATTTGCCACAAAATCATGCTTTTTATATTAAATATTAGATCAGAATTCATGACTGCCAAATCTACAACTTGACTGTGGAGTTAATCTTATGAGCTGCTAGTGGATAATCTCTCCTAAACAAAGTTTTTTCTTTGTTTCTTCTCCAGAGTTTGTTACAATTTTGGCAGTTCATTTTTAGTGCAGAAGCTCTTCTAATAGATCTTCAATGTTGAGAAAAAAAGAAATTGCTTCTAATGGCATTTGGGACAAATAGTGCATTGTTACTTTAGTCTGTCATTACTGTAGTGGTAGTGGTTCTATGTTGTCCTTACTTGATGTGAACATAATTATATGATTAGTACTAAGGCAGTGAGTACTGTTATAGTATCAAAGTGACAAACATTTTTGAGATTCTATGTTAGGTGCTTTATGCATTTAGCTCCCTTAATCCTCACACCCACCCTGTGAAGGGACTATTATCTCCATTCTATCGATGAGAAAAGTAAAACTCAGAGCAGTTAAGAAATTGGACTGAGATCACACAGCTATTAGTAAAGGGATGTTAGTAAACTGGGACTTGAACCTAGGCTCTCTCATTCCATGACTTTTTTTTAGATTGGTATGAGGTATAGGATCACATGCATCAGTGTTATCGCATCATACCCACCACCAAGATACTTATACTGTAACTCTTTTCTTAATTTGCTGTGCTATGAAAGTGAAAAATAGAGATAATAACAGTTCAGAGTGGTAAGAAAAATGAAAAAGATGCACACAAAATTGGGGGTGAATTACTGCAGAGGTGGATTCTAAAGAAGAGCAAATAATGTAACATAAGAAATTAGATGTGGATGCCTGTTTGAGTTCAGTTGTTAACTCTTGAGAAGGCATAGAGTTAGAGAAGGTATGGCAAGTCTGGTGAAATGCTGCGCTGCTGTGAAATTTTCAGTGGAGAGTGGTAAGGGGGCAAGTAGAGGTGAAATGGCTCCTTAGATGTTTCCTCCCCAGTCTTGGGAAGATGAACAAAGAGGACAGTTCCCTTCCTCGGCAGATTTTTCGATGTAGGTGAAAATGATCTAATTTGAGGAGGCAATGCCGTTAGAATATTTATGAAGAGGTGGAAGTATGTCTGAGTTTTATTCTTTTTATTTTAAATTTATTTTTTTAAAATATTTTGTACTTTTTTTTTTTTTAAGATTTGTTTGTTTATGCATAAAAGAGTAGGTGTACAGGCCAGAGGTGTGGGGGGTGCGAGCATTCACAACAGACAGAGTGGGGAGCAGAACTGGCAGATTGAACAAAGTATACTGCCGAGGGGAGCAGCAGGTGAGTCAGAAGAGGTCTGCTGCCCCATGTGGGTATCTCCCTGGCCAGTAGGGGATCGAACAGAGGCTGAGGATAGCCTCATAGTACTGCGCTTAACCCCTTGCACCACCAGGGAGGCCCTGTCCAAGTTTTATTACAGATACTCTGTTAGACTTCCATTAAATGGAAATGTCTCTGTGAGCTGCAAACTTAAATACCTGGTAATCATTTTGGACTCTTAGTCACATGAGCAACCTTTTGAACCCTCTCTGCTACTGATCATGAGAACTGACTGGTATTAGACTGGTCTCAGTCTAAAGCAGTCTTTCATTTTTCAGTATTGTTAGGCCTCTGTTTGCCTTTATACACACTTCTGGAAGAATAAATCAATACCAATGTTTAATTGGGTTATTGGAAAAAAAAACCAACAGATTTGGTTCCTAAGACTGATAATTTTGAAACCCATGATCTTTTAAATTGGGAATGACATATTGTATTACTACCATGTTAGTTATATATTGATGGAAATTAAATATGCAGTGTTTTAACTATTATGCATCCACTTTAAGAAATTGAACATAGACATTTGGGTAGAGGAGTGCTACATATTCCAAGATGGTATATTTTTGTATTCTACATAGCCTACTTAAAAATCTAATAATTATTACCCAAAAGATGCTTAATTTATGAATATGTAAATTCTCCCAGTACATACATTAGTATGTTCTTAGAAATTCTCTGTAAAAGAATTCCATTCCAACTGACAAGGTTTATGTTCTATCTAGATTTTATTTTGTCTTCTTAGTTCTGGTGAGTTTTAAAAAAGGGTTTTTATTGTTAGTGGTATAAGTAAATTTCTACATAGTGGCAAATGATACTGTCATTTACCATCTCAATATTTCTCTTTAAGTTAGAAAGTCCAAAAGAATTTTGTCTAGTTTTATTCAACAGGAGGGTTTATCTGAATTCCCTAGATAGCATTATTAAAGGAAGGGAGTAGAAATTATTTACATATTTATTTTTTTTGCGTAGAAAAACTGGAGTGTAGGCCAGAGGTGCGGGAGGTAAGAGGATTCACCAAAGACAGAGTGGGGAATAGAACAGGTAGATCTACTGAAATACATTGCTAAAGGGAACAGCGGGTGAGACAGGAGAGATCTGCTGCATCATGTGGGTCAGCTCCCTGGTCAGGGATTGAACTCATGTCATAGTGGTGATAGCATTGAGTCTTAATCCCTAGGCCACCAGGGAGACCCTGAGGGTAGAAATTACTGATCTGAATTATTGTTGATTCGTGGACCTGTGGATTTTTAAAAAATAATTTTTAACAGTATAAGGGAAACAAAAGAAGAAAAGCTTTAGTGTTAACAGCATTTAAAATAATAGCACTAATATAGAGTGTTCTATTTTCATTTTATGTCTTTCAACGGGTAAGAAACTTAAGCAGTTGAATTGTTATAAAAAGAAATATTCCAATTATTTTTCTTAACAGAAGAATATACTTTTCCATGCAACGTGATTGTCTCACAGGGTTGCAAGCCGTTTTAATGCCCGCTTCTAATATTTTTGCCAAAGAAATGAGAAATAATTTGTTTAGAATATAATATTACAAAATTTAACTGCAGATTTAAAAAAAATTAGAGTCAATGTGGAATCATTTAAGTGGAGTTTTAACTATCAGTTCATCTACTAGGTAAACTTTTGTGGTCCTTTGCAGTCCAGAATGTGATATTTTTCCTGTTAAATTATCTTTGAGTGCTAATGCTAATGTAATTGATTATGTGATGAATTGTTGGTTTTATTTTGTCTTATATGTTGTTTCGCCTGTTTAGGAGGGGATCAATGCTCAGTACAGCAATATTTGTCTATGCTGCTACATCTCCAGTGAATGGTTATTTTGGAGGAAGTCTGTATGCTAGACAAGGAGGTAACTTACTATCACACTGTATTTTTAATTTTAGGTGCTAATGTTTTACTGTGAGGTATTTGGGGTTTAAAATGTACAGTGCAGTCATTTAAAAAATGTGGTTATTTTACATAGTCTCTACCAAATCAATTATGTATTCTATTTTGCTTATATGGAACCCTTGCATTTTATTTCCTAAAATATGAATAGTTAATAATCTCTTCTCACTGTGATGTTCACTCTGAGGACCTTGTGGGAGAGTATACTTAAGTTATTGATACAATTTTGCTTTAAGTTCCTAGCTCCTGATATGCTCCACAAGAAGCCTCCACACAGTGGAGCCTTATAGCGGAATATAAAGGCATGTCTCATGGCTTATGGACAAAGTGGACAGTGGAAGGAGGGTTTATTTCAGTTGGCTTTTAAATATCAAAGGACTTTGTACAAAAGTTTTGTATTATTCTGTATTCATAATCTCTTGCTGTGAGAGCTTCACCTTAAATACACTCCTGCTTATTTAGTCTTGTGCCATGGAAGTGATGGGAGACACATGGATGATATGAGGGTACTGCCCCTCGTTGAAACAGTCAGGGGTCTTCAGGTTCATTTGATTTCCCCGTAATTGTCTGAAGTCAGAAAAATCCTGAAGGTAGATTTGTATATTTTGGTTTATGAATGATATAGTTGAAAGACCTTCAAATTTTATTCCTGGGGCTAGAGACCTCTAAAACTGATTTTCTCTGCCCATCCTAAGCAATGTCTGAGTTTGGAGATCCTGCTTTCTTTCTGTAGAATACAGAGACTTATAGGTTATAAGTAATAAGAGCAGAGGATAATTTCAGATTCCCCCAGGATATTCTGGTTTACCATTGCTTCTTTTATTGGTTCTGCTAGAGTTAATGTGGTCTGCAATTTCAGGATAGATAATTCTTTGGATTGCCTGAGGGTGTATCATTATGGGTTCTTAATACTTTAAGTTAGGGTTCAGTCCTCTATATTCTACCTTCAAATATGGGAAAAGAGTCTTTTCATATTAGACTATACTAAGAAATTAGGTTGCTTAAGGTAACTTTTCATTTGAATTTGACCTGAAAACTAGTTAGGCTAAGAATTTGACAGTTTATGACCTCTATTTCATTTTTTTTTTTTTAATTCATGCATATAAGATCTGGGGTGTAGGCCAGAGGTACGGGAGGTGAGAGGACTCACCAGAGACAGAGTGGGGAGCAGAACACAGGTAGATCTACTGAAATACACTTCTGAGGGCAGTGCCATATGTGGGTCAGCTCCCTGCCCCACAGGATTGAACTCATGCTGCAGTAGCTGGCAATTGCTTGATAGTGCTGAGACTTTCACCCCTCTGCCACTAGGGAGGCCCAGTTATGACCGCTAAAAAAGTTTCCACAGCAGAAAGTCATTTAAAGATAGGAAATGTATTCATACTTGGGCATAAATTTGCTTTTAATCTGATTGCAAGTTAAAAATACCTGACAGACTTTACTATGGTTGTTACTGAAAGCTGACAGAATTTAGGTTCAGGTCTAGGAGTATCATATTTTACTAAGTGTGAGCTAAAGGTTATTTTCTGATTAACAGTGCCCTGAAGAGATCTGATCATGTTCTGCTATTTTGTCTGAACAATCCTCAAAAACAAGATTAATATAGAGGTCAACCTGGAGTAACAAGAATTTTTCAGTTATCTCAAGATTTGTACTACAGTGAAACCATAGCCTTCACACTGTCTTCAGTGAACTAGACAGTTCTTCAGAAACGTTTTCAAGCCAGGGGTAGCCTGGAACTTGACCAGAATCTCCAGGGTGTGGGGAGCAGTAGGAAGCCCAACAGTGTGGTGCCTGGGCTACTGATTGTACCCAGTGGCATGTGAGTGGGATTTCTTTCTTTCTTTCTTTCTTTCTTTCTTTCTTTTTTTTTTTTAAGATTATTTTATTTTATTTTATTTATACAATAGCTGGGGTACAGGCCAGAGGCATGGGAGGGTAAGAGGATTCACCAGAGACAGAGCGGGGAGCACAACAGGCAGACAGACCGAAAGCACTGCTGAGGGGAGCAACGGGCGCAACAGGAGAGGCGCAACATGCCACACCATGTGGGAATCTCCCTGGCCAGCTGGGAATTGAACCCGCGCTACAGAGGCTACGGACAGCTTCACAGAGCTGTGCTCAACCCACTGTGCCACCGGGGAGGCCCGGGATTTCTTTTTGATTGTTGGAGGCAAAGAGAGAAATAGAGTTGGATATGGAATTTATTAATGCATGTCTGAATCTAAGACGATAATAAAAAGAACAGGAAAAGGGAATGTTAGGAAAGAGTTGGAATCAGATAGGAGAAATAATGCTTTAATTAGTTGCCCCTCTTTTTGTTGTGGAAAAGAGCAATTCCTAAAAACTGAGAAAAAGGCAGTTTAGAATTGAGGGATATCAGGATTTGGGGCAGTAATTCTATTAGACAGAGGTTTAAAAAGAACTTGTATAGAACAAAGGGTGTTGCTTATCCTAAAGCACTCTCAATTTGGGTTCCTCTTGCTTATGGTTATGGGCTGAATTTTACAAAAGTAGTGATCCATCCAGCATTAAATCTTTATATGCTGGTCCTAGCAGTATGAAGATGCTTCCCTGATGGTGCATTTGCAGGTGCACACTGCTGTATTGGAAAGAAAGCTCTTTACTGTTCTCTTGGTCAATGTAAATATGATTTAAAACTTTCAGTTATGCAGTTAAAAATTCCTTCCCTTGATATAAATAATGTATGCTCACTGTATAGAATTTGATAATATAGAGAGGTACAAAATAATAAAACTTAAAACTCCATAGTTCTAATTGCCGACAGCTTGTGAAACACATTCTATTGTTTTTACCCTTTTAAACAAATAGATTTAAATACATATTTATAGTTATAATTATAGAACTGAGAGTAAATTTATTAATTTAGGGGTCGGAATTTTAAAAAAAATTTTTTTTTTGAAGTAGTAGAACCTATTCAAATAAAAGCTGATGTGAAATTACAATGTGTAAAACTTCTGAAATGGAATTGTTCCAGTTGAAGCAGAACTTTGTCCTTTACCAGTTACTTCCTGAGCCCCTCCAAGAAGCTCTAGAACTCCAAATAGTAGTATGAAAACACCTATCTAGGCCAAAATGTAAAAATTGAGTAGCTTCCCAAAGTTTACAGCAGCTCAGTGGCAGGATTAGGACAAAACACCACATTATTTTACAACAGTTCATTGCTCTTTTCTAGTATACCCACTTCAAAAGGTATGTTTCTATTGACACATTTGAATAGCTGTATCAGTCTTTGTTAGCTTTTGTTTTGAAGCAGTTGTTAGAATGTTAAGTTTCAGGAATGTTCCATTAAAATTTTAAATAATTTGGCATAGAATGTCACCTTTTAAACATTTCTATATTCCTGTCTCTCTAGTTTTCATAGTTTCTCTTCTTTTTCAGGAAGGAGATGGATAAAACAGATGTTTATTGGGGCATTTCTTATCCCAGCTATGGTGTGTGGTACAGCATTCTTCATCAACTTTATAGCCATCTATTACCATGCTTCTAGAGCCATTCCTTTCGGAACAATGGTGAGTTGCTTGAATTTTACTTTTAAACTGAAAAAATATAAACATTCTGAGGCCTATTATTTCTCCAAAGATAGTTGGGATTTTGATATTTACACCTCTTATTAAGAGTTTTGATAGTTGCAACCAGTCCCTATCCACTTCTGGAAAGTTAGGTGAGAAAAAACTTGTTAGTTTTCATATAATTTTGGTTATGTTTAAGCCTTATAGTTACCCTTTTTTTTTTTCTTGATTCTATGAACCAAATAAAGTGAAAGGCTGCCCTTAATTAAAAAGTATGACAGAAGAGAACACTGTAGCTTTTTACCAAAGATGGGAGAAACTGGTGCATATAATTTAGAGACAGTATAATGACATATCAAGAAACATGAGTGTTTTGGGCCTCCCCGGTGGCGCAGCGGTTGAGCGCTGAGTTGCAAAGCTGCCCACAGCCTCTGCGGTGCCGGTTCGATCCCCGGCTGCTCTCCGGCCACCAGACGAGGGTCCCACATGGCGCGCAGACCTCTCCTGCCGCCCGCTGCTCCCCTCAGCAGTGTACTTCAGTGATCAGTAAATGCAGTGATAGGAAGTGAAGCATCTCCGTAACATTTTTTCCCAACAGTATACTTCTTCAACAACCTAATTAAAACATTACTCTCTATTATGGCAAAAATATGTGTTACTATAGACACTAAAATCCTTTCAGATATCTTATCTGAACCATAGACTTTGAAAGCTTTGGATCATTCAAATTTATAAAAACTGAAATATAGATACACTTGTTCTTTGCTTTTTACTAGGTTAACTTTTTAGTGGGAATAGAATTTTGGACCAATTTTTAAGTCTGGAGTAGATGTTTATCTTAATGTACACTTGTGCACATGCACATATGCATGTTGCAGCAAGGTTCCTGCTTTTCAGAAAGGCTAAATAAATTGGTTTAGGTCACATAGATAGTGGTAGAATTGCAGCCAAGACCCCTAATCCTTTTCTCAGTTTTAATCTTGTTTGGTTTTTTTTTTTCCATTATTGGGAGTTTTTGAAATGTTTCACAGAAATTCCAGATGATTTTGGTTCTTTTACAGTCTAGGTTTGCTAATAATGACACATTACATATGTATTTTTATTAAATCTTTAATACTTTTTAATTCAGAATATTTTTGAAAATTGCTTCAAATTGAAAGTTTTTTTCCAAGGGAGAGTAAGTCATAATGGCTGACAAAGGGTAAAATAATAATTATTCATAACTAGAAAAGAATTTGCTTCATAATCATTCCAGACCATCAGAAAATATATAGAGCGAATCATGTTACTTTTTTTTTTATAATAAATTTTATTTTTATATTCCCCATACAATTGCAACCCCCCCATTCTGATCCCAATCCCTCCCCTCCCACCCCCCCAAAAGTGTCTCTGTTTCATAGTTTTTTGTTGATTCTGATTTTCACTTTCTTATAGTTATTCATTTTCCTGGTCCCTTATTTAAGTTTTCTAGATTCCTGCTATGAGTGAGACCATCCGGTATTTTTCTTTTTCTTTTTGGCTTATTTCGCTGAGCATGATCCCTTCCAGCGCCATCCATGTTGCTGCAAATTGCATGTGCTTATCTTTTTTGAATGCTGAGTAATATTCCATGGTGTATATGTACCACATCTTCTTGATCCAGTCATCTATTTTTGGGCATTTGGGTTGTTTCCAAAGCTTAGCTATTGTAAACAGTGCTGCTATAAACAGGGGTGCAGGTGTTCTTTGGAATTGATGTTTCTGTGTCCTCTGGGTAAATACCTAGGAGTGGAATTGCTGGATCATATGGAAGCTCTATGTTTAGTAGGTCCAGAAATCTCCACACAGCTCTCCATAGTGGTTGGACCAGTTTGCACTCCCACCAACGGTGCAGAAGAGTTCCTTTTTCTCCACACCCTCGCCAACATTTGTTGTTGCTAGTTTTTTCAATATGTGCCATTCTCACTGGTGTAAGATGGTATCTCATGGTAGTTTTGATTTGCATTTCCCTGATTACAAGTGATGTTGAACATTTTTTCATATGCCTGTTGGCCATTTGCATTTCTTCTTCAGAGAAGTTTCTTTTTAGCGCTTCTGCCCATTTTTTGACTGGATTATTTTCTTTGTTGTTGTTGAGTCTCATCAGCTCTTTGCAGATTTTGTGATCAGTCCTTTATCATTAGTGTTGTGTCCAAAAATGTTCTCCCAGTTGGTGGGGTTTCTCTTTGTTTTTGTTATTGTCTCTTTTGCTGTGCAGAAGCTCTTTAATTTGATGTAGTCCCAGCTGTTTATCTTTGCCTTCACTATCACTGTTTTGGGTGATGTGTCTGTAAAGATGTCTTTGATGTGCAAATCACGTAGTGTTTCGCCTATATTTCCTTCTATATATTTTATGGTTTCAGGTCTTATGTCTAGTTCTTTAATCCATTTTGAGTTGATTTTTGTGTATGGTGTGAGGCAGTGGTCAAGTTTCATTCTTTTGCATGTAGCAACCCAGTTTTCCCAGCACCATTTATTGAACAAACTTTCTTTGCTCCAATGCATAGTCTTTGCTCCTTTGTCAAAGATTAGTTGACCATAAATCTGTGGGTTTATTTCTGGATTTTCTATTAGATTCCATTGGTGTGTATGTCTGTTCTTGTTCCAGTACCATGCAGTTTTGATGATTATGGCTTTGTAGTATAGTTTGAAGTCTGGGAGTGTGATGCCTCCATTCCCTTCTTTTTTTTTCAGGAGAGCTTTGGCTATTCGGGGTTTTTTGTGGTTCCATATGAATTTCATCAATAATTGTTCTATTTCTTTGAAGAATGACATTGCATTTTTTATTGGAATAGCATTGAATCTGTATATTGCTTTTGGTAGGATGGCCATTTTAATAATGTTTATTCTTCCAATCCATGAGCAGGGGATGTCTTTCCATTTCTTTGTGTCTTCTTCTATTTCTTTTAACAGTGTTTTATAGCTTTCTTTGTATAGGTCCTTTACCTCTTTTGTTAGATTTATTCCCAAATATTTGATTTTTTTTGTTTCGATAATAAAAGGGATGGTTTTTTTGATTTCTTCTTCTTCAGATTTATTGTTTGTGTATAGGAAGGCTACTGACTTTTGCATGTTGATTTTGTATCCTGCCACTTTACTGAACTGATTGATTAGTTGAATTAGTTTTTCTGTGGAGTTTTTGGGGTTCTCTACGTATATTATCATATCATCTGCAAATAGTGATAGTTTGACTTCTTTTTCTATTTGGATTCCTTGGATGTCTTTCTCTTGTCTTATTGCTCTGGCTAGGACTTCCAGTATTATATTGAAAAGCAGTGGTGAGAGTGGACATCCTTGTCTTGTTCCAGATCTTAATGGAAATGCTTTCAGCTTTTCACCATTGAGAATGATACTGGCTGTTGGCTTGTCGTATATGGCCTTTATGATGTTGAGGTATGTTCCTTGTATCCCAAGAATTTCAAGGGCTTTTATCATGAATGGGTGTTGCACTTTGTCGAAAGCTTTCTCGGCATCTAATGATATTATCATATGGTTTTTGTATTTCTTTTTGTTGATGTGTTGGATAACGTTGATTGATTTTCGGACGTTAAACCATCCTTGTGTCCCTGGAATGAATCCTACTTGGTCGTGGTGAATTATCTTATGGATACATTGTTGGATTCTGATAGCTAAAATTTTATTGAGGATTTTTGCATCAGTGTTCATTAGGGAGATTGGCCTGTAGTTTTCCTTTTTTGTGTTGTCCTTGTTCGGTTTTGGTATTAGTGTAATGTTGGCTTCATAGAACGTGTTTGGTATTGTCCCTTCCTTCTCAATTTTTTGGAAGAGTTTGTGAAGGATAGGCACTAATTCATCTCTGAATGTTTGGTAGAATTCATTTGTAAATCCATCAGGTCCTGGGCTTTTGTTTTTGGGGAGGTTTTTGATTACCATTTCAATTTCGCTGCTTGTAATTGGTCTGTTTAGGTGTTCTGTTTCTTCTTTCTCTAGCTTTGGGTGATTGTAGAGTTGTAGGAATTTGTCCATCTCCTCTAGATTGTTGAACTTGTTTCCATATAACTGTTCATAGTAGTTACTGATTATTCTTTTGATTTCTGCTGTGTCCGTTGTGATTTCTCCTCTTTCATTTGTGATCCTGTTTATTTGTGCTTTCTCCCTTTTTTCCTTTGTGAGCCTGGCTAGGGGTTTGTCTATTTTATTGATTTTTTTCAAAGAACCAGCTCTTGGTTTCATTGATCTTTTGGATTGTATTTTTAGTTTCAATTTCATTTATTTCTGCTTTGGTTTTTATTATTTCCTTTCTTCTACTGGTTTTGGGGTTTTTTTTTTAGTTCTTTTTCTAGATCTTTGAGCTTCGAGATTAGGTTGTTTCTTTGAGTTCTTTCTTGTTTCTTGATGTGAGCTTCTATTGCTATATATTTTCCTCTTATTACTGCTTTTGCTGCATCCCATACATTTAGGATATTGGTGTCCTCCTTGTCATTCAATTCAAAGAATTTTTTAATTTCTTCTTTGATCTCCTCATTAGTCCAGTGGTCTTCCAGTAGTGTGGTTTTTAATCTCCATGAGGTAGGAAAGTTCCTTGCCTTCCTTTTTTGATTTATTTCTAGTTTGATGCCTTCATGGTCAGAAAAGATGGTTGGTATGATTTCAATCTTTGTGTATCTGTTGATGTTTGTCTTGTGCCCCAGTATGTGATCGGTCCTGGAGAATGATCCGTGTGCACTTGAGAAAAATGTGTACTCCGTTTTTTTGGGGTTTAGTGTTCTATAGATGTCTTTTTTTTTTTTTTTTTTTAATAGAGGCATGTTTTATTTATTTATTTGTTTGTTTGTTTCGTTTATACATGCACTGGGTACAGTCAGAAGCACAGGAGGGTGAGAGAATTCACTAGAGCCAGAGCGGGGAGCAGAGCAGGCAGAAGGACCGAAGTACACTGCTGAGGGGAGCAGCGGGCGGCAGGAGAGATCTGCGCGCCATATGGGACCCTCCTCTGGTGGCCGGGGAGCAGCCGGGGATCG